ATGCAATCAAATCTAAATAAAAAATATAATTAATTAATAAATTAATAAAATCTCTATAATAATGCTATCATACGCTTTGGATTTTATTTCACGGGATACTAAAAATGATATCAATTGTCAATACTATCGTATGCTTAGGCTATCGTTGTTTATGCTTCGGTGGTTCGGCGGACCGATAGGTCTATATAGAGTAGAAAATCACGGCCCGATTCGGTCGACAATATCACTGGCGACGGCAATAGTGGTACTCATTGTATTAAACCTGTCGATTGTCTACGACATGGTATTTACGATAAAAATGTTTAGCGACCCGAACCGTACGTTTATTGAAAATGTTCAGTCATTTTACACATCGATCATCTACACGGTCGGTATCGGCAGTCTGGACATACTGTGGTGGCGACGCCAACACTTGCGACAGCTATTGAACTCAATTGATTCGGAGGTCAGACTGTGTCCGACATTTAATTTGGAATTTATGGCAAAAAAGATGAAGAAATTTAAGCGAAAACGAATCAAATTCTTCATTTTTATGGCATTATTTACGGGTTATAACACCCTTCCCGGCGGAGACATCCGATGCGACGGCGATTGTGATAATGATTTTCAATTTGTTGCCAACCGGGACACTAATCGTCTGGTCAATCGGTATGTCTGTATTGTTGCATTGGCTATGAGTTCAATCAGTAGTTTCATATTTGCCACAATATTGTCGCTGTATCTCAACATTTCGTGGGTATTCCATCTGAAAGCCGACCGAATAGCCAGATATCTGAAACATCGTATCCTCTCAGAGGCAACCAATGGTCGTCCACCCGACTCACGAATCGGCCGATTGATAATGAATTGGTTTATGGATTATGGCATACATTTTAAACGATACGATAGTATATTCAAACAGATAGCCGGACTCATCTACGTAACAATGGTCTGGTCGGTACTCATACTGTCCGATCGGATGATTGAATGTATAGTAAAACAGGAATCGTTTTTCGATAACATCAAAATCTGGGAACACGAGATCTTCAGTACAGTTATGTTGATATACTTCCTATACTGTCTGTCCTCTGTTGATCATACACTGACCAGACTAAACATACTGATACACCAACTGTCCCTTTCGGTTAAGTTTCACTATTTTGACACCAATCAGATAGCTGTCAACAAAACGGCCAAAAATGTAATGTCTTTTTTAAAAAAAATTGTTTTGTAAACTAACATCTAATGTTAGTTAAGGTTTTTATAAAATGAATGTCTATCTTAATCTATGATTTTTTTTATATGAATTAATTATTTATAAGTTTTATTTTTTTTCCTGAAATATTAAGTTTTAAATATTATTAGGAAATTATTTTCCTAAAAAATACATTCATATGAATTAAAAATGTATTAAATAATTATAATATGTTTTTTTTTAAATTTATTTTTCTTTAGCTTAAACTATTGGCCGAAACAATGCGTAAATGTTCACTAAATATATCGTGTTTTGGTTTATTGCATATCAATAGGGGTTTAATTATAACAACATTTAGTATATTAATAACATATAGTATTTTGATGTATGAAATGACCCGTAATCACGACGACAGTGACGGTAAACTAACTAATAATACTTGTATTAATGATACCATTCAAACAACAATTGCCTATTAATTAATTAAATATTATTAATCGATTTTATTTATAAAATATTAATTTTATTTATAATTATAAAATATTTTTTAAATTTATTAATCAAGTTTTATTAAACTTGTATTTATATATTAGAAAATATAAACTTTTATACAAACAACAAATTATTATTTTATTACAATTTATTAGTAATAAGTTAAAAATTTATATATTGTGACTTAAATTAATTTTATATTTACTTAATTTTTTTTAAATCATTTTTTAATTTAATTAAAATAAGTTATACTATTATTATAAATACAATACAATACGATATAAACATATGAAAACATTAAATTGATAAAATAAAATCTAAACAAATTTTTATTGATATTGAATTTTATAATTTAAAAAATATTAAGCATTGGTGTATTTAAATTTATTAATAATTTTGTAAATGTAACCTTTAATTAATTTTGCAAATATTTATTATAATTATTATATTATTATAAAATCAAATTAATTATATACTGTATAATTGTTTAATACATTAATCAATTACCGGTAATCTATAAATTATGGATATTTATCTATAGAAATAATAGTGTTTTAAATTTTGCAATTTATTTGGTATCACGTGCACACGTGATTGTGTGTGTACGTGCGTGTGTGTGTGTGTGTGTGTAATACATAATCATTGAAATTACAACAATTAGTAAAAAAAACTATTTAATTTGAAAAAATAGTTAACGACTAATAATAAATTTTAATTATAATAGTTAACCAAATAGTTTGTATAATAACTGATAACTGTTTTATTTTCTCAATTATCATTTGAATCCTATTTGACTATTAAAAAAAATAATAGCTGACAGACAACCTAACAATAATAACAACAACAAAAAGACAATTAGTTTAGTGACCAATAGGTTTTTTATTTAAAGTAATGGGAAATTGTTGCGGCGGTAATGGTTCGGACGGTAATACCGGCGGCAGTGTTGCGGCCGATCATAAAAAACATGAAAAGAAGGACAGAATACCGGCGTCGGAATCATCGGCGACGACGCCTAAAAAACCGATGCCGTATAATGCGCGGCCGTTGTCGCCGCCGCCGGCCGGACAGCGGGAACTACTGTTCAAGGCCAATGATAACGACACGGACGACGACCAGACCAAAGAGGACGCCAAAGCTCGAGCCCTGGCTGAGGAACAGATCAAGAAATCAATGAAAACCGGTGGCGTCAGAGGCGATAACAGTGCCTATTCGGTGATGAGAAAACATACACAAACAGGACAACCGGCGGCTGCGGCGGTCAATACGGGAAAACAGTCGGCGTATAATGAACTCAACAGATATATGTCGCTTAAAGGATACGAAATGATTGCACGGATCGGTGCCGGCAACTATGCCGAAGTATACAAAGCCGTTACCGTAAATGAACGAAAACCGGTGGCCGTAAAAGTGATTGATTTGCGTAAAACCGAACGAAATTATCGGCAAAATTTTTTGCCCAACGAAGTCGATGTACTCAAGATATGCCGACACAAAAACATTGTAAAGATCTACGAAATGGCACAGACAGGCAATCGGGTGTTTATGGTCATGGAGTTTGCGCCGTTCGGTACGCTGGCCGAGTGGCTCAAAGATAACGGTGCATTGAACGAGCCTATAGCTCATGTGTGGTACAGACAGATAGCCAAAGCCATTAATCATATGCACGGCAAGCATATAGCGCACCGGGATCTGAAACTGGAGAACATACTGATCTGCAAGAATCGGGTGCCAAAGATATCGGACTTCAGTTACGCTGTCATCCATAAACCGGGTTCACCGCCGAGCACTACCTACTGTGGATCGTTGCCCTACTTTGCGCCGGAAATACTTCAACGCCAACCACACGATCCCATAATGTCCGACATCTGGAGTCTGGGCGTCTGTTTTTTCATTGCGCTCAACGATGGACTGCCATTCAAGACACTGGACGACCACTCAATGATATTACAGAAACAGTTGAATAAGGACTGGCATTTCAGAGCTAAAGTCGACCAAAAACTATCAAAAGATTGTAAAGATTTGATCGGCCGTATGCTTGAGCCAGACATCCCCACTCGGATCACATCCCAACTGATTTTGGCCCACCAATGGATGCGACAATAATAGTGACAACAACTAATAGTGAACCACCGTTTAAATGATACTTATTTTTAATGATCATATCAGACACTTATCTTTTATATACATATTTATTGTCTTATATATATTGATATATAAATTTATATATATATATATATATATTATTTTATTTTTTTATATTATTATCATATGATTCCACAATTTTTGACACACAAATTATAATAAACTATTGATTAATTGTGATTTTAATTTTTAAATAAATAAAATAAATTTTTATGAGAAATTATAAGACTAATAGACCTAAAATAAATTGACAAAAAAAATTGTAATATATTTTTTGTTATTGTATATTACTTATAACTTTAAAGTGTTAAATGTTATTATATATAAATTTACTGTATTAAAGTTTAATGTCAATATTTAATAAATTAGTTATTTTTATCTATTGATATAATGAAACTCAAACTTACAACAAAATAATTATCAAAATTAATGAAATAAATTATTTTTTTTGTTATCTGAGTAATCAATTTAAAAAAATTGCAAAAAATAATAATGATTTTTTTCTATACATATAAAATATCAAACTATTATTATATCAAAAGTCGATTTACAATTCAATTAAATAGCAATCAAAAAAATGCTTTTTAACAATATCTAACTCAATCAATACAAGTAGTTAACAAATATTTACATAAATAAAATTAATTGTATAATAATTAACATATCGATAAATAATAGCCCATTAAATATTGACATCATATAAACTGTGTTTGATATATATAACGATTATACTGTATATGATATCAATACTGTATAATACTTACATTATTATAAAAAATATTAGAAAAAAAATAAGTTTGATATTATGTTTTTGGATTTATAAATTTATAAATCATATCTTCAATTATAAAAAAAATTAATAAACTAAAAAATACCCCGCAAAAAAACTATCAATATTTAAAAATGATATCATATATTATTGACTCTATAACTGGCGAAAACAAAAATAATATTATCAACTATCAATACTATTCAATGCTTAAGCCGCCACTGTATCTGCTCCGTGGTTTGGGTGGACCGGTAGGTCTATATAGAGTCAAAAATCACGGTCCGATTCGGTCGACAATATCATTGATTTCGGCGATAGTGTATCTGATTATACTAAACATGTTTATTGTGTTCAACATAATAAATACCGTACGTATAGTCAAAGATCCGGACCGTTTGTTCGTACAAAACGTCCAGTCATTATATATATTGGTCATCGATATCATCGGTATCATCAGTCTGGACATACTTTGGTGGCGACGCCGACAGTTACGATACATATTGAACTCAATGGACCGGGAGGTCGAGCTCAGCCAGAAATTTAACGACCAGTTTATGGCAAAGAGATTGAAGAAATTCAAAGGCAAACGAATCAAACTATTCCTGTTTATGACACTATTCTCTGTTTATAATAGTTTATCCATTGATCTTAAAAATATGTTTATTGAGTGTAAAAATGAAATACAATTTATGGCCAATCCGTTGGTCAATAGTTGGATCAATGGTTCCGTTAATGTAATATCGTTAATGATTACCTCGATCTGTAGTTTCACATTTTCCACTATTTTGATACTCTATATCAACATTTCGTGGATATATCGGCTAAAAGCCGACCGAATCGTACGATACCTGAAACGGTGTGTACTCGTCGATGTGGCCAACGGTTGTCCACCTGATTCAAGTGTGGCCCGAGTAATGAAAAATTGGTTTACCAATTATGCCATACAATTCAAACGATACGATAGTATATTCAAACAGATAGCCGGACTTATCTACGTATCGATGGTCTGGTCGGTGCTGTCGCTGTCCAATCAGATGATCAAATGTATTATTAAATTAAAGCCGTTTATGGATAACTGGCAAATGTGGTTACACGAAATATTCAGTATTATCGTATTGTTACACTTTTTGTACTGTCTGTCCTCAGTAGAACATACCCTTACCAGACTAAACAAACTCGTATACCAACTGTCCCTTTCGGCTAAGTTTAACTATTTCGATACCAAACAAATCTATGTCAACACTGTGGCCAAAAATGTATGTGTTTTTGTTGTTGGTATTGTATATAATATTAGTGATAATAACGATTGTTATAAGTCTAGTCTATTTTTTCCTCTCAATTTATAACAAAATTTATTTTATTTTATTTTTTTTAATAAATTTAATAGATGTTAATTTAGTATCATTATTATTATTATCAATAATATATATGTTGTTAGAAAATAAGTAAATTAGTAATTAGTAAGTAATATATTTCAAGTTATTACAATAATAATAATAATAATAATACTAATTTAGTAATGAAATAATATTAAATTATTTAATAATCTAATTTAATAATATAATAATTTTATTATTTATGTTTATGTTTTTATAAGATATTTGAACAAAATATAATATTTATATAACAATTCTAGTAATTGATAATAATTTTATTTTTTACATTTTAAAAAATATAAATATATTAAAACTATTTTTTTCTTAAATTTTTTTTCATTAGTTTAAACTATTGGCCGAAACAATGCGTAAATGTTCACTAAATATATCGTGTTTTGGTTTATTGCATATCAATAGGGGTTTAATTATAACAACATTTAGTATATTAATAACATATAGTATATTAATGTATGAATTGACTCGCAATGATGACCATGAAGTTAATAATAATAATATTAATAATACGTGTTTTAATAATACCAATCAAACTTCAACAACAACATCAACTGTTTATAGCTTATATAATATTTAGTTATCATAGTATTTAATGGTATAAAAAAATTATTATTATAAAATAATAACAATTACAATTTAACCAAGGACATTGATAATTTTATTGAACAATTTATTATTATTATTATATATACCGGTAATACTGTATAATAGTATTATATGTACTAAAAATTTAGTTTAACAATTTTATTTTATTTTTTTATAATTTTTATTATTATTATATGATTGCCTGTTCAAACAAGTTTTTATTATTATTATTATTATTTAATGTGAAATGATTATTATTTATTTTAGTTATCATTTATTTATAATTTAAAATAAGTTTATGTAACTGTTTATCAAAAAAAAATTTGTACTTAACTGTCATTAAGTCTAGTTATTATTTTTTTTTTGTTGATAAATGAGAGGTTTACTTATAGACTAAATAATTTATTTTAAGTGTTTATAATAATTATAAAAATGATAAGTTATTATTTAGATTGAAAATATAGTAATTAATTTTGTTATCAGTTTACATTTATATATATATATGTTACCATATGTTTGTCATTATATCAAAAAATATTTGCGAATCATTGGGGAAAATAAAATTTTTTATTTAATTTCACATTTGATTTTTATTTAGTTCATGTTATTAGACTACAGTATAAATATATACTGTATGTGTGTTTCATAAAGTCAATGCAATATAATTAAATAATTTAAAAATTAAAAAAAAAACAATAACTTTATTTAAACAATAATTATGTTTTATGAATAAAACAAATTGTGACAATTTTATTTTGTGTGTATTTAAATTATTATTAATAATAATAATAATAATACAGTAATAATATGACTATTGATAAACCAATAGCTACTGTAAGTCATGTTATATTTGATTTTGACGGCACACTTGTGGACACTGAGATGTGGGGTTTGGACAACTTGAACGTCCTATTGAAACCATTGGACAAACAGTATAGCCTGGAGTCCTATAGACCAAAGCTCGGTATGCATGTTATCAAACGGTGTGAACTAATTGTATCGGATTTGGTACTACCCTATACTGCCCATCAGCTCCTCGACAAATGGCTTAATCAATGCATAACTACTGTAACTGATATCCAACTGATGCCCGGAGCCGAACGATTAGTAAAACATTTGTCACAAAATGAAATCCCGATGGCTATTGGATCGGCGGGAAAGAAACGTGAGTTTATGGCCAAAAGTGCACACTTTGGCGATTTGTTTGCCACAGGAAAGTACTTCCGACACATAGTACACGGCGATGACCAGGGAGTCGAAAAACTTAAACCCGAACCCGATGTGTTCAATGTGTGTAACTCGGCTTTCAATCCCGTACCCGATCCGCAAAATGTATTAGTTTTCGAGGACAACCTAATCGGCATTACTGCTGCCAATAAGGCCGGTATGCGGACAGTACTGGTCAACGACCAGCGATTTTATTCAGCAAATCAATGGTCAGACAGCGGCCTAAATATCGACTTAATTATCAACAGTTTAGATGAATTTGAACCGCAATTGTTTGGTTTGCCGTCATTTATATAGAATTATCATTTAATTATAATCAATCGTTTATTTAATTTGCTAACTATTTGTATAATTATATATAAAAAATTATAAAAACATTTTTTTGTTGATTAAAATACACTATTATAGATAAAATTGTATAATATGACTGATATAATATTTATTTTATTTTTAAAACAAATTATTAATGCTTTTTATTGATAGATTAAAAATCAAGTGTTTAACAAATATACTGTCAAACTTAGATAAATATTTATAATAATAATAAAAATGTCTAATCATTATTTAAATTATAAAATTTATTTATTTTAGCAAACACTAAATTATGCCAATTATTATTATTATTAATACTATTGTTTACCTACTTATTAGACTAAAATAAAAACACTTAAAAAATAATATACCAATTAAATAAATTAGCATGTACATTTTCATCAAAAAAAAATTGTCAAACCATTTATGTAATATTTAATATATACGATACTCTTAAGCCATAAACTAAAATCATAAGTAGTAGTAATAGTAGTTTCATAGTTAGTCATTGAAAATTGTTTGATTGAATCTAATGGAAGTGAAAACGGTATCAAAACTGGTTTCACTGCGAGACCGGGCAAAAAACGTCGGGTGCTGTCTAACCAATCAAAACTTTTACTCCATATTAAGACCAACACTGTTTTTGTTGAGATTTTCGGGAGCGCCGACCGGACTCTGGCAACTATGTACGGAAACTAAATCGTCTTCCGTACGGCGAATCGTTACATTGGTGGCCGCATTAACGGTACTTGTGATCTTCAATTTTGGTGCCATTTACGACCTGTATCTGACCATTCGGACACTGCAACGACCGGAACGCAATTTTCAGGACAACGTCAACCTATTCCAGTGTCTGACCCTAAACATAGCTGGCGTACTGGCACTGGACATACTATGGTATCGGCGACAACTGTTGCGCGAAATGGTGGTCACCATCGATGTCGAGCGTAAACTCTGTACGGTTTACGATATGGAGTGTCGGCGTTCAAATGGCATCGAAATCCGTCGCATGACTTTCCAAATGGTTATCTATATGTTATTCTTCGCCGGTTATCTATTCTATACATTGTGGCAGTCGAGCGAACGAAGCGGCGACGATATGACCAGTTTCTGGTTATGGCTACTATTACTTAATATCAGAATCATGTCTGTGTTTACCTATTCACTGATCTTATCGTTTTATATATCGCTTACGTGGATATTTCGGCTGAAGATTCGCCGCATAACCCGTCATCTCAAACAACGTCTGCAAACAGATCCGTCAGCGATGCCCATAGTCTGCGACAATCCAAACGAAGACAACGCCAATGTTATCGAAAACTGGTTCCAGACATATGTCGATCAGTTTCGCCGATTTGAGCTCGTCTTTCGCCAGATAAACGGTATCTTCTATGGCGTCAAAATTTGGTTCATACTGTCGATGGCCGAGGACTGCATTTCGGGAATTATTGATAATAATTGGACATCAAATGTCCTGAGTATGGTATTACACGAAGTAATTACTATATCAGTGCTCATCTATTATTTGACTTCTGTGTCGACTATTGATCACTATATGATAAAACTGGTAAAACATTTGTATCAACTGTCGCTTCAGATCAGGTTCAGCGACGACAACGATGATGAAGACAACAATGATGATAACAATGGTCTACAATCATCGGAGGTAATCAGCAAAAAGGTAATGACAATAAAAAATAGTTATTAAATTTTTGTTAAATAATTAATTAATTTTCTTAATTAAAAAATTAGTTTAAATTTCTCGGAGAGTCTATCGCTAGGACTGAACTGAATGTTACGGTTTTCGGCTTAATCTCAATGAATCGACACTTAATTATATCGACATTCAGTTTGTTGACAACCTATACAATACTCATGTATGAGCTGACGAGTGGCAAACATTTGATTGTTCATTGAATTAGGTGTCCAAAAAAATAACAAATAATTTATATTATCTAATATATATTGTTATTGTAATTATTTTAATTTATGTCCAGTAATTTCAATAAAATATTTTTAGAAAATTTTATGCTAATATAATATAAGAAAATAATTTACTTAAAGTTTGTTTATTTCTAAATTTGTTGGTCACTCTAGTTTGAGATAACCTATGACCCCCTATGTTATGGATTATGTAATTAATTAAAATAATTAATTTGTTTTACATATTTTATATATTAAGCAAAATTATTGCAAACAATATTTATATGTTATCTGAGAAAATCATTTCTATTTAAAAGAAAATAAAAATATTTATTTTTTATTCAAATCAATAAAATCACATATCGTTGACATTATCAAACACATTGACAATAAACTTGTTGTTATTGTTGTAATTGTCATTATTATTGTCATCGGCGACATTCAAGCGGCTAATAGTTTCGTTGACAAACTTGCGGACATCCCTGCGGTTGACTTTACCGCTAATAGTCTTCGGGATGTCGTCCACGACATACAGTTCGTCGACTGTAATATTCTGTTGCTGTAAATACTCTACAAATTGTATTAATCAAATCAAACCAAACAAAATAATTAATTACCGGTAAATAAAACTCAACATTTAAATGAAAAAAATATGTGATCACTAATGTTTTGGGTTAACAAACCGTTTATATAATCCTTGAGCATCTGTACCGTATTGTCGCATCCATTACTGTCGCCATCCCTGAGCACTACCAATGCTCCCGGTGTTTGGCCGTGCAATCGGTGATTATTACCGAAAATCGTAACCTCTTTGACCATACTATGCGATAACAGTATAGATTCTAATGTTGTCGGACTGATATGTAGGCCCCGGTATTGTATGAAATCGTCTATCGGATCAATAATTTGCAGTTTATTTCGATGATCATAGTATCCAATATCTTGTGTCCGAAACCAGCCGTCACTGTCAGTGACGTTAACTGTAGACTCGGATGACACTGGAGTCAGATATTTGGCGCATAATTGTACACTTTTGACATACACTTCACCCATTTGTGTGGGTCCGAGCAATCGATCGCTGTCCGTATCGACAATTTTAATGCTAACAGCCGGCACCGGTATGCCACACGTGTCGTAATCGGTACTCTTGATGGGTTCAATGGTAGCAAAACCGCACATCTCAGTCATACCGTAAGCCTGTCTAAAGTCTTTGATGGAGAATCTGTTGGCAAACTTGTGGCCAATGTTTTTGTGCAGTGAAGCGCCCGTACAGATCACTTTGTCCAGCGATCCGATAGTCGTCGGATCCAAATTGTCATCTTTGATCATATCTGTAATGATATGTGGCGTCAACATCGCAGCCGTCGCCTGCCATTCCTCAATGACTTCGCATAATTGCCGATAACTGTTGTGTTGGCTGTTGTCTGTGATGACAAACCTCGAGCCAGTGGTCAGCGCCGCAAACAATTGGATCAAACCGTTGATATGAGCAAACGGTGTGGTATTGACAACAGTGTCCGCCGACGACCAATTGAATCCGGTGACCGGCAGCGAACTCATAGTCAATTGTGATACCAGCGAAAAGTCGGTAATAAAACATGACTTGACTTTTGTTGGATCAAAGCTGCCGTTTGTATCCACTAGTAAACAGTTATTCACTTTGGGATCAATTGTCTGTATGACACCAATATTTCTTTCGTTATGACACTTATGGCTAGTTATGTGACTTCTGTATGACTGATAATCATCTATAGGTTGATCATCGCTATGACTATTATTTCCATTATTATTATTATTTTCACTATTATTATTAATTTCACTATTTTTCTTAAATGAGACTATTGTCTGGAAAATATTTGATTTGAAAAATAATTTATTAATCTTTTTATTCAAAAAAAATTTTAAAAATTAATAATAAAGTAAAAATATTAATTACTTTAATTCCTTTATTATATTCGCTGAGCATTTTGTTTGACAATGATTTTTGATATTTTGTAGTTACTGTCATAAATTTGATGTCCTTATCTTTGATCAATTGTGACATTTGATCTAAAAATAAATAAATTATTTTTAAACACTAATTTAAAATTAACGAAATTTTAATATTATTATTGTTATTATTCAAAGTTATTACCAAACTGTGTATTAGGATTGACCGGAACGACAACTCCGCCCACAATTAGACCGCCGATTAATGTGACAACAAATTCATAGTTATTGTGACCGCAAATACCGAAATGTTGGCCAAACTTGAGACCACTGGTTACCAATACATTGGCCATACGTAGGCTGTCGTCGGCCACCGTATTGAAAGTGTAGCTAATTTTAGTTTCATTATCTATCTATGAAATTATTTGGTTAAAATAAAATATATTAAAATAAATTTCATACATAGAATATATATATATTTTTAATTATAATTAATTAATTTCATGTATCGGTTAATTTAAATAAATATAACATTTGATATAATAATTGTATTAATAATGAAATATATCATATACTGTATATAAAACTATGATATGTTTGTATATGATATCATACATACCAGGAAAGTCCTGTTTGAATGTGATCGGAGTTTTTCAATGAGAAACCTGGATATGGGTACCAATGGTATGGCTATCCGGGGATATTTTGATTCAATTATAGGATTTTTATTATTATTATTATTATTGTTATTATTATTATTGGTATTACTGATAACTTTATTAGCACTCATTGTTATTTTCATAGTTGTTTTCTAGCAATATTAATACATATACATATCCAATACTATATTAAAAATATTAATAATAATAATAATAATTACATTGTCATCATTGCCGCCACAATACACATATACACTGCATTAAAAAAATATGACTGTGAATTCAATTATTAATAAAAATACTATAGTTATATAATATATATATATATATAATATAATTAATATAATTAAATAATGTATTGTATATATAATAATGACATAAATAATAATCTTAAAATATGTATGTTAAGTATGTTGTAGAAATATAGAGAGTATCTGAAAAAACATACTTCAAAATATATATATATACAATTAGATATCAATTTATATATTATATTAATTCATGCTATATTTAAAACATTACTGATAAAAATCATAAACATAATAATTATATATATATATATTAATAAAAACAAGAAACATGTTAACAAAATTTTTTAAAAAATAACTTTTTAAAAAAATTTATTTAAAAAAACTTTTTTGTTTCAATAAATGTCACACAAAATATTAGTTGTTAGAGTTTATTATGCAAAGGTGTGTTTAGCTATAAATAAATTATTTTAGTGATTATTAGCGAAAGTCTATTTTATAACAATACTATTGATATATTATTGGGTAAACTAATACATGTGTTTCGTTTTTAGTATATATATATATATATATATATATATATATATATATATATATATGTATATGTATTTCAACTTTTATTATAATATTATTTGCTAAATATTTTATTATCTTATCAGCAAAAAAAAAAGTTTCTCATAATAGTATTGTTAGTTTTTAGCATTTTTTGTTGTGTCGGTTTGTTTGCTAACGTTGTTAGTGATACTTTTAAACAGTTTGACTATTATTATTAGTAGTAGTATTAGTAATAATAATAATAATAATTTATTACTATATTAACTGTTATTGTTATGGGAGAGTTAAAAGATTAGTATTAAATAAATGTTTGAAAAATTAGTCATTATTTTTAGTATTTTTGCTGTTAATAACTATATAAATATTTGTTTATTATTTAGTACTATTGTTTTTGAAAAAAAAATTTTAAGGTAAATATAAATCCGATTTGGTATTTTGAAAAATATTGAAAAGTATTTGTATATAATGTAAATTAAAAAAATTACATTACCTTAACAATAATTATTGAAAATTATTTTTAAAAAATTTATTGACATTTTAATTTTCAATATATATATATAATTTAATGATACAGTATTTATTTCACTTTTATTTTTTTTTAAATATACGATTTATATATAATTTTTTGCAATCTCACGCTTTTAACATTAAAAATAAATTTATGTACCGGTAGTATCAATAAATACATTTTTAAAAACTTTTCACAACATTTTGCTGAGAAGTTATTTAAATGTTATTAATTATTATTATTATATTGTATTGTATCAATATTTCAACATAAATTTTTTTATTGATTTATTAATTATTAAATAACATGGCAATTGGTTTTTAAAATACATATAATAAAAATGTATATAATAAATAAGTAAACAACTAAAATAATTAACAAATTCATTGTGTCATTATAAATGTCATAAAAAAACAAATATATGATACTTACATAACGTTAACAATAATTTTAATAAAAAACATAACTTAATAACTCCAACATATACTGTATGTTAGACTTTAGAATAATTGTCGAAAATAAATAAAAATTAAAATTAAAAAATTAACAAAAATATTTTCATAACAAATAGAAACTTTAGGACAAGTCCTCGAGTTTAGGATAATCGGCCAAACGGCCAGACATATAGAGATCGATATCGTAGTCGAGTGCAAGTTTGGTCAACTTAGCCGACTGTTGTTTGTTTTCGTTAAACCGATGATTACGGTGTCTGTCCATTAGTGGAGCCCTTTGTTGTCTCATTTTCAACGGTGCCGACAATCGGTTAGTCAGACTTTGGTCACGTTTGAAGCGTTTGGCCACTTCCTGAAGCAACAGTAGACGTCGCAATTCGCCGTCACATTTGCCAATACGTTTGGATAGATCATTGCCATCATTGTTATCATCCATGGGCTCTTGATTTTCTTTATCATTGTCATCATTATAATTAACAGCACTGTTACCATAGTTATGTGCACTTTTGGTGGTCAAGGATGAGGAGGAAGAGGAGGAGGAAGAAGACGATGAGGAGGAATACGGAGCAATGGGTATGAAATCGCCATTTTGTCGCTTTTCAGACAAATCAGTGAACCTCTTGTCCAGTGTTTTGTTAGCTTTTGATGACCTAAAGGATAGCCTTCCGATTGTCGTCGTCGTCGGCACCGATCCCGACGTTCCCGTAATTTCTTTCTTCAGGCGAATTGGTTCGCACTTATGAAAGATATTCTTCTTAGTGGCTGAACTTTCATCCATTATTATTATTATTATTATACACTTGAATGGATCAATTGATTTTAAAACGGCTGTTTGAAGATTGAATGTCTCAGTGAATGAAAACCAATAGAGTAGGCAAACCTCAAGTATGACTGACTTATTATTATATTTTTTTTTGTATCAAACAAACAAAATGTATATTAATTATTAAAGAATTTATAAAAAGTTTTTATTTTGTAGTAATAGTTAAGTTTTCTTTAATAATAATTTATAAAAAAATTATTGATAACTAATATTTCTGTTTGTTTTGACTAATTTTTCAAAATAAAATTATAACCAATGATTAGATTGTCATAAACTATGATACATACCTTAAGTAATTTGCATTAAATAGTAATTTGTTTGTTTTGATTTTTAAAAAAATCACCCTGGGTAATATGTTGGGAATATCTACTATACCTTTATATATTGTATGATTAATTTATTTTCAATATATATTAATAAACTATTCACAGTTGAGAAAAAAGGGGATTAAAAATCAAAATTACTAAAAAACAATGTGTTAGCAGTTTAAATGTTAATGACTGTTATACATATAAATATGTATTTTTTGCATACTAATATACTATATTATATTTGAACTTGATACAATCTATACTAAAATTACTTTATTACTAGTGTATAGTAATTTACTAGATATGATTGATTATTTTTTCAGCAATTATTTTTGTTGTTGTATTGATAAGCTATTAAAATCTGATTCATCAATGGATTTGATTTTAATTGCTTAATAAATGTATAAATCGGTAATAATAATAATAATAATAACATACATTACATATTGTTACAACTGTTTGCTTATAATTAATTAATTAAATAATAATAATAATAATAATTGTGTAAACAAAATGCAACGTTATTCAAATAAGCAAGCAGGTCCATGGTCCAGTCCAATCAAACCATACAATAGTGATCAAAAGCCTCTGGTATGACCTATCTGTCAATGGGTGCAGAATCTACTATTTTTAAACCCAAACATCCAAAAAAGCCCAATTGACAACTATATTAACATTATTATTATTATGTGTTTAGGACATATCGTTGAGAACATGTGAAACGGCAGCCCAACCGCCATCTCCTCCTCCTTCCGCCCAAACATCAGCGCGATTACGACCACTTAGATGTACTTACAGACAACCGGGGACTTCAGGTCAACAGTCACCTAATGTGACAGTTGTACGCAATCTGCATACGAGATCAAAGTCGACATTCAGATGGCGATCGGCACCCGATGCTGGCGTCGAGGGTTCACTACAGGGACTGGTGTTTGCCATAACAGGATCACTGGACAGACTGACCGACGATGACCTGACAGAAATGGTCGAGACGTGCGGCGCCACTCTGACACAGACTATGAACGCCGACTGTAACTATTTGATTGTCGGCACCAATGGTTCGACCGGAGCCGTCGATAAGGCGACCAAAGCGGGCAAAACTGTCTTAAATGAGGCGCAGTTTTTTCATTTGGTCGTAAACCGCGGCCGACAAAAACATTTGCAGAACCGGTTGGCCACTAATGATAACGACGGCCACAATTAGTCGGACGACAATTCAGTTTGAATGCAAATTTGTTTGTTTTTTTAATGATGACTATTAGGATAAACTATCAAAAAAAGTAAACTAAATTTTTTTTTTGATGTTTCAAAACTTTTTTGTTTTGTTGTTTTGTTTAGTTTCACTTAAATTCTACCTAATGTTAAGTAATTAATTTATATTTACATTATTACTAACTTATTATTTCAAATATTTCAAATGAATTAGAAATAAAATTGTTTGACAATTATTATTGTTTTTTTGTTGTTTGCAAATTTCTTATTATTTATTTATGGCTAATTTTTGTATGTTATTTTTTATTTAAATAAAAAATTATTATTATGAGTAATCAGATTAAATTAAATTGTATGTATTATCAATAGTATAATTGTTTAGTTAATATACTGTAAATTACAGGTTATCTATTTATATATATTGATAATCTAATATAACTATAATAAACTTCATAGATTTAAAAACTTCAAGGTTTGGCGCACCAAATGTACCAATAAATTAATTAATAAGATATCAAAAAAGATATATTATATTTAAAAGTGTTAATAATTTTTATTATATAAATACTGTAAATAATTAAACATTTTAGTTAGTTTTTTTTAACTTTTTGAAAAATGAGTTTTAAAGTCAATACCGAAAAACAAGTCAAACATATTGAAGATATCAATTCATCCATCAATGACTTGGACTTAGATAGCGTTACACTAATTAGAGGCAAAACACCGCAAGATATCAATCAATGGTGTCTACAGTTATGTAAGGATTATCTGTCGGGTGAATGGATTCAACAAACAGTGGACACCATTACTGTCAGTCGTATTACGGTCGGTGTTACCAATCAAATGTATTGTTGCGCTATTAATGAACCAAATGGCCAGTCATTAGTACCGCAAGTGGTTGCCATCAGATTGTATGGCAAAAAGTATTTTCTCCACAATAATGATAGACTTGTCGATACGGTTATTGCATTAATGATGTCAACAATGAAAATTGGTCCAAAAATGTATGGCATATTTGATCAGGGACAAATACTACAATTTTATAATGTAAACTATTATTATTATTGTAAATTAGAAACAATTCAATTTTTTTAAAATTAATAATTAATTTTTCTAACTGTATTTCTATTCACCCTAACAAAGCACCGACCGTTTAAAATCAATGAACAAAACAATGCAAAACTTGTCCGACAAGTGTTTGAAAAGTTAGCCCAAATTCATGCCATGGATGTGCCCATCAAACGCAACACTAATTGGCTTTTAGATGAATTGGACATTTCGTTAGCTGCGATATACGCGAGCCAAAGATCTACTGTAGACGACATCAAACAATTATTCAATAGCTACCGGTGCCCGACTTTGCTTAGTTGCGACTTTCCCAGCGAAACTCAATGGATTAAGGATGTCATCAAACGCACCAATAGTCCAGTGGTGTTCACACACAACGACTACCGATCCGACAATCTTATGGTCATTGAATCGCCTGATTCCGTCAACAATCAGTCTATAGTCGTCTGTGACTTTGATTACTCTGCCTATGGCTACCGGGGCTACGATTTTGCATTGATTTTACGTGAATGGCATAGAAAACGATATATCGATGTCCGCGATGTCGATGGTATTCCTCAAGACGACCAAATAGTTCGGCCGTTAATCGAAATATATGTCAACAAATGCAACGATATTCACGGATCAGATTATTCTGCAAATGATGTCAATTCTGTTGATCACATCTTATATGAGATCAAAGTGTTTCAAATGGTTTTAAGTTTTTTCGGTACAATTCATACACTGAAACTTGATTTAGAAAATCAAGGCTTTTTCGGTGAGACCAACAAATTGGTAGGTATTTTCAACAAATTTTCATAATATATAATAAATAATTTTCAAACTTATTTTTTTTGTTTCTAAAGAAACTCCCGGAAAATCTATGCAAATGTTATCTAATTTTAAAAGAAAAACTCAAAAATATGAATATAATTTAATTTTTATACAATTTGTTATTTATTTGATTTTAATTTTTGTTTTCAATAATAATAATTATAATAACATTATAGATCATAACAATAATAGTTAATAATAGTAGTAATAATTATAATGATAATTATTATTTGGTGCTCTTATATTCAATTAATTTTTATAATACATAATTGATTTACTTGTGAATAATTTTCCATATATCCATTAAATTAATATTTAAAATAACAAATAAACAATTATATTTTCATCAAAAAAAAACATTCAGATATTAAACATTTTAATAAATTAATATAACAAAAAAATAATAATCTTATTGTTAATTCATAAATTTATATACTTGTTTTTATATATTATAATAATAATTATAATAATACTCATAACTATATGAGCTTTTATTATATATATATATATATCAAAAAATCATATCAATATAATTATTTTCTTTTTGTTTTTGTAAAAAATATTATATTTTAAACAAATTATAAATTAATTAAATAGTTTATAAATGTGAGGTAAATTAAAAATATTATTTTAATATTATATATCAATCATACAATTTGTATGAACCGTATGTGTGGCTCTATCTATAATGTAATTCATTTAATAAAATTATAACTTTCTTTAATTATCAAAAAACTTATAATAATATTATATATAAATTAATTTTTTTTAAATAACAATCACAAGGGGTGTAATAAATTACTAAATCTATGAATACTTTAAATGATTAGTGCAATTATTAATAATATTAATTAATTAATTAATAATTGTCCTATTAAAAAAAATCTTTTACAAAATAAAATAATTTAAAAAAATAATATAATCACAAAATATTTTGTATTATAAAATTAAATTCTGTTAAATCATAATAAATTACTGTATATTTCATTAATCAAAAATAATAATAATTTTTGCCGAAAAAAATAATTAAATATTTTTCATTTTGAAAACGTATACATTGTATATATTGCTATGTATTTTGTTAATTACGCTAACAATTAATGGGAGAAAAATTACGGTAATTAATGAATGAATTAATGATTAGTACCAAAATGTTGCACATGTAGCTCATGAAAGTCCTCATTGGGAGGGTGTGTATGTATGTGTATGTATGTATGTATGTAGGTGTGGAATGTTAGTCATAGGCCATACCAGTTGATCCCGTATTGCTGTTGTTGTTGTCAACAGTCACTTTGGTCTGGCAGCTGATTGCATGCCTTTTGCACCAGTCCTGAGTGGTAAACAGTTTGCCGCACGAACCGCACGAAAACTTGGGCCTAAAGTTACTGAAGTGTGTGTGATAGTGACGGATCAGTTTGGACTTCTTCAGGAATGTCTTACAACACACCGGACAGGTAGTCATATTGTTGGCCTGTATTTGTGCTAATAGGCGCTCGTATTCTGTAATATATATGGGAAACACATTAGTTTAGTTGGTGTGGATGGATGGGTGGGGAGGGATTCATATATATATATATTTATACTCTAAGATCATCATACCTTCAATGGTTTGGGGTGTCGTGAATGAACTGCTCGAATAGGGCCTAAATCTGCCGATTTGTGTCGAATCGATCTCTGGCCAGTCGTTTACAATTTGCTGGTCGTTTTGGTCGAGATTTTCATCGCTCAATGATATCTCTTGAAGTTCTGTAGATTTTTTTTGTTGTTGAAAATATGTGATTAATTAAAAAAAAAATTGTCAGTTAATTATCATCTAAAAGTGTCAGTTAACTGATTGATTGATGCCTTACCATTGTCATCGTCGTCGTCGTCTTCTTGTAGGTCAATGGGAACGATAGCTTTAGATGAATCGCTATCATTAGCGCCAGAATATTCAACTCCTGTATCCTTCACAACAAAATTAACAAAAAAAAATAGTTGTAAACAATTGTTGATTTAATAATTTGTGTCTGAATTTAACAAAAAACAAAAACAATTAAATCCTACTTCTGGTGTAGACATGGATTGTTCCAGAAGTTTGATCGGTTCGATGTCATCCATACATAACGAATCCCTGTTCTCCACTTTCACAGTAATCTCATTGATCTTTGGACTAAACTTTTGTACTTTAAATTGTTTGTTACGATAATTGCTATAATTAACACCCGCTTTGACTGTATTTCCACTAATATTAATATTATTATTATTATTATTATTATTATTTCTATTAGCACCGGTAACCGCTAGTAAGCTTTGACTGCCGCTAATCACCAGTTCCTCATCGCTGGTTAAGTTACCACTAATATCTAAATTGTCAGACAATTTGACGCTTTGATTGCTGTCATTGTTGTTATTGTTGTTGTAGTGATTAATACTAGGATTAGCTTTACGTTTTCGTCGCCTATTCCTAGCGATCATTGATTGCACCGTTTCCTGGCCTTTAACACCGACACTACTATTACTACCACCACTTCTAATGGGCGACGAGTCCTGTTTGTCCCTAACCTCTGTCAGACCTTTAATACGAAGCGTCTCTGCCGTCTTCAACAGTGAGCTGAGCTGATCCTGAGGTACGTTCACTTCACCCGTATAGATAAAATCGATGATTGACTTGAGATCGGCAAATATCACGTCCTTGAGTATGACAATGGGATGTTTGCACGGATTGGCTACAAACAGATTGTAAAAGTAGGGACTGCTGGCGGCCAATACCATCTTATGGGCCTTAATGCTGGCACCGTCGCAGGCAATGGTACAGTCGCACAGGTTTTCGTGGATCAGCATATTTTGAAACACTTCCGACAGATTCTGGTTGAAGCTGTTCCACTTCAGACGATATTGGGGCTGATTTAAAGCCATGTGTTTGTATGTATGTGTGAGTATATGTGTGCGTCACTGTGTTTGTATGTATAGATAGAGGAACAGGGTCTCTGCAAATATATTAAAACATGTTATATAACAATGATATACTATGTAAATAATAAAGTGAACAAAAAATTGTTTTTTTACTGATAAGGAAATAACAAACAAAATAAAATAATAGTAGGAAAAGTATAGTATAGTATATATATTTTTTTATATGGCCTAATCCCCCTCTATTTATTTATCTATCTATCTCTATCTCCTACTATCTATCTATCTATCTACCAGTGCTATTACTATTTAATATATAAATGGTATGCAATGCATGGCATGCTATTGAAAACAGGTATATTTTTTCGCACAGTATTTCAATTTGGGAAAAGTAAGTCATCGATCTCTCTCTCTTTCACACACACACACACACACATACATACATACATACACACACACACAAACACACACACATACACACACATACACACACATACACACACACATACATACATACACACACACACACAAACACACATACATACACACACATACACACACATACACACACACATACATACATACACACACACACACATACACATTCACTCGCTAAATATTATGTGTATTTAATAAACCCTACATTTGATTAAATACATGCAATTTCCTACATTTATGGTATTATACACTGTATTGTAATAATAATAATAAACATATGACAAACAGCTATAATATACTAACTATAAATAAGCATACATTTCAATAGTTAATTTAATATAATTTTTTTGAAACAAACAAACAAATATAATATGATATTATGTTACATACTGTACATGTAAACACCCTACTAACAAAATTTTTTTACCCTACTCATATTAGTATCAAATGCTATAACATATTAAAAAAACACACTGTAATATGATATGATATACAATACAGTAATACAAAGTGTTACTAAACAATATGTGTGTGGGGACCCAATAAGCTTATTAATCATCAATACAATAATTAGATATGTTATCTAGGTTATTTGTTGTTGTTGTTGTAGTTGAATAGTTTTGTAAATGATCTAGGTGTTGTTATGTAAACAAAACAAATATACATACCCGAATAATATATGGTAATTTATTTTAATCCAGCAAAAATTTGTTGGTATAATAGAGATACACACAAAAATTGATTTTTCTTTACAACAAAATTATTATTATTTTTTATATCATATATATATATAAAATCAAAACAACACCAGTGTTTTGGATATTTCCTAAATATATACGTACTGTATATCATATATATATATATAATATACAGTATATACACACATATATATATACAGAGCTATCGTATATACTGTATATATAGCTTGGAGTGCCTAAGAGACTGACACTACCAGTGCTATGGTATATGTGTTATGCTATGGGAGAGAGAGATAGACCTAACTTTGATGCTGCGCTCAACTGAACCACCAGTTGTTGTGGTGGTTATTGTCGTCGTCGTCGTAGTCGTCGTACTGTTTTTAAAGGGCGTCTCGAAGTAGTACTGTATGTACTGTACTGTACTGTAATGACGTGGACGGACCTAACAATCAGGCACTCACTCCCTGTTATATATATTTAATACAGGCATTTGGGTCTTTCCATTTTTGCTGTGTGTGTGTGTGTGTGTGTATATATATGTGTCGGTGCTGTCGGTACTACTATTAACTAACTCAACCACCAGTTCCCTCTCTCTCTCTCTCTCTCTCTCTTTCTTTCTTTCTCTATCTCTCTCATTCTGTGTACATAACAATTGATTGAAAAATAAAGGGTACAAACATTGTATCATTTATACTGTATGATACATGCGCTTAGCGTTTGTACCGTTTAATAGGGAACTCCATATATGATATATTTATTTATTTTTAAAAAACCTAATTGGCCTAGTTAATTAGTAGCTATGTGTGTTGGTGTGTCTAAATGCTAAATGTTAAGTCATAGGGGATAGTCATAATTTTTTTTTATTATTAAAGTTTAGTTGACAATTATTTTTTTACTAAATACTAAAAGTCTAAAGTTTATGTATATAATTCATAGGGGCATAGCCTATGCTAATTGTATTATTATTATTATTATTATTAAATGCAAAATAATTACTATTTAAATATATATATTAGTATATTTTGCTAATTAACTTTTAAACAAAATTATTATTTTATTAGCTTGCTATTAGATTTTTTGTTTGTTTGTTTGTTAGTTTGAAAGTTATTAATATTTAGAAAATTACTGTTTAAATACAATGTATATAATTAATTGTTTAATTAAGTAAAAAAATTTTCAACACAACAAAAAAATTACACTATAATAATAATAATTAGTATTATTATATTAATACGGATAATAATAATGAAAGTTAAATATTAGATAAACTATAAATACAAATATTTTTTTAAAAATATGAAATAACTTGTATTAATAATTATAATTATATATATATGTGTGTGTTTAAAGTATTGATAAAAAAAATTATATGTAATAATAATAATAATTTAGTTTCTATTTTTTAAATTATGAAATCTAAATGTTTTATATTATTAATACTGTATTTTTCCTTTGATTAAAATTAGTTTCAAGGTTTTTAAATACATTTTTTTTAAAAAACATTACAGTATTGATTATATAATTATTAATAATATAATATATATATATATAACATAGTTAGGGGCCCCCACCTCTAACCATTACACTAATCTTTGTACCCAAAAAATTAGGTACAATTTTTTTACTGTAGATAAACAGTAGGTTTTTTTTGTTAATCAAATGTTAATTAAATATTAAAATAAAAGATTAATAAAAAAAATTTAGATAATTCTTATTTTAAAAAATAAAATAATAATATGTGTTTAGTTTAAAATTTAAAAAACACATTATATTTACCTTTAAAATTTGTAAAATTTAAGAAAAAAAATCTAATTACTAGTAAAAACTGTATTTACAATAATTAGTATAAAACTGAGTACTATTATACTATAATCTATTTAATTACTGTATTTATAAAACTTATGTTAATAAAAAAAATAATTACTAACTAACCAATTAATAAACAATTATATTGTTAACAAAAATTATTCTTAATATTTATATAATTATAAATCACTTAAGTATTATTATTATATTTTGCAAATTTATTAATTATTTATTGATATTGACATCAATAATTCAATTTAGATATAGTTAAATATTTTTAGTCGAAACTATTATTGTATTGGAATAAAAAAAATTAATAATTAATAAAATTATATGTAATTATTAATCAAAATCATAAATAAAATTAAAATATATTTATTTATTGATACTTTATTTAGATAATAAAATATATATATATATATATATATATATATATATATATATATAGATATTACAATAAAAAGACTTTATTTTTATTATTACTAACAATAAAATATTCAATAAGATAGCTATTTATTATTAAGTAGACTTATATAATAATCTATTATCAATAAAAATATAAATTTTCAATATAAATAACAATTTCAGATTGTATACTTTCAAATAAAATCAATAACTTTTTAAACTATAGTTGAAATAAATATTTATCTATTAATATAAAAAAATAATATATTAAATAAAATTTATATAAAAAAAAACATTTTTATAATAATTTCTAGATTATTTTTAAAAACATTTAGATTATTATAAAATTATAATTTTGTAATGAATATCATCAACATTGCTGCTACTAATGATGTAGAGTTATAATGTTAATTTATATTTAATTATAAATTTAATTATATATCACATGGTTCATTTATTTTATTTTTTATTTTAAAATCTAGCATATGTATTTTATTGTCCAAATAAAACAATGAAACAAAATTGGGGGAAAAAGGGAATGGATGTTAAATTAATTAATATTATTGTTAACAAATTAAATCTAACCTAACAGTCAATAGATTATTGTAACTATAGTTGGGGTCGTCAAATTGACCCGGGCCATCATTTAAGATAAAAATCAAATATTTCAATTTTTATGTTTATATTTTTTTTAAATTAATAATATTTAAATATAATAATGATTTTGATAATTCAACTATATGTGTATGAATATTATATATTGATTAGAAATTGCTTTAAAAATCTATAAATTTATTTGATTATAAATAGATAATTTTTTTAATATATTATATTAAAAATTTATTCAATATTTATCTTCATAAAGTTAATTTCGTTTATAATTGAATTAATATTGAAAATTTATATATATATATATAAAATATTATTATTTTTATTGAATTTAGCAAATTTATTAAATATTTAATAAATAATTCAGTTTACATATAGTTTAATAATATCTTTGTATTGAAATAAAAATTAATAATTAATAAACTTAATATTAATAAAAATTATATGTAATTATTAATAATAAATAAAATTCAAATATAATTATTTATTGATATTTTATTTAGATATTGAAAAAAATAGATAACAAGATATAACAGTAAAAAAAATTTATATTTTATATTCTAAAATAAAAATCCATTTATCAATAATTTTGTATATTATTTAAACAAAAATTTTAACTAAATTATATTTATTAATTTGATATTTTAAAAATGATCTTGTTCAAAATATCCAAACTCATAATATCTAATTCAAAAAAAATCCTAAATTAAAATATCCAAAAATAATAATATCCAAACTTATAAAGTAAAAAAACATTTCATCTAATTAAATAATTTAAATAAAAATATCTAAAATTAATCAGCCAAACAATTTAAAATATAAATTTTAATTATTATTATTATAAATATTTTTTGAAAATAATTTATTTTGGATATTTTGATTAAAATTATTATCAACAAATTAAATTTAACATATAGAGTAATAGATTGCAATTATAATTGGAATAACCAAATTGACTCTGATAATTGAACCAGTACTATTATTATTATTATTATTATTATTATTACCACTTTTACTTATATTTAATTTCAAATTTTTTTAATTGTTTATAAATCAAATTTCATGTATTCAATACAATGACTAAACCATTTCAATGAAGTTAATAAAATTTTATTAAACAAATCATTTTAATTCATAAAATATTTTGTTTTATTAGAAAATGTATTTTTCAACAACAAAATGTTTATTTATTAGAAACTATTGTTTTTTTTGTTGAAAAAACAAACAGTTTTATTAAAGATAAAATTATACAGTATTTTTTATAAAAAAAATAATAATAATTAATTTCTTATAAATTTATTTATTGAGTAAAAAATTTTCTACCATTAGTTTAACTTCTTGTTGATAAACTAAATGCATATTATGGCCACCCATTGGAAATCTATAACAACATTAATATTATATTTAGTTTACTAATTTCAATATATTATTAATATATTATAAACTAACCTATGAACTTTTATATTAGCTATATTAGCTTGCAGATGCTCAATTTGATCCAATTCAACTAATTTATCCTATTAATAATAATTTATAACATTTTAATAATTATAAAAATTTGTTATTTTAATAATAACCTAATAATAAAGTGCGCAAAACAACAACAACATACCCGATCTCCATGTATGAGAAATATACGACATTTAATACTATCGTAATTATTATTACAGATACCATTGGGAAACCATTTAAGAAAGTTTCCGATAAACAGTGTGTGCTGTTCCCATAATTGTTGTATTTCATGTCTATCCTTATAAACCCTAAGATATCTATCAATTAAATCACGACTCCATTTACTAGTGTCGACTGTATAGGAAATATTTTTCATTTGCATATCACTGGCGTATGGGGTCATCGCTAGTCCAACCATTGCGGTAACCAAATCCGGATAATTGGCAGCCAATACCAGTGCCACTCGTGTACCCTCAGACCAGCCCAACACTTGAAACTTTTCATAGCCCAGTGACTGATATTTTTTTATTAAAGTCAAGTCAAACAAAACAAACAGATTTTTATTATTTAAAAAAATTAATTACTGGTACTATTGATAACATTATTTTTGTTGTTGAATACATACCCGCATTAATTGGACACAACAGTCGGCATCGTTTGTAAATACATTGCTTGAGTGTTGTCTATGGGGTGGTCGGGATCGGCCCCAACCGGGCAACTCAATGGCGACCAATGTAAACTGATCATGGTCCAATGCATTTGAACCAATTAACAGTTCACTATAATCGGTACGACCGGTGCCTTGTTTTTTGTTTTTAATCAAACGGTTATACCGTATTTAATAAGCTATACTAAATCTATTATATATATTTTTTTAATATTAAATATAAGTTATATCAAACCTATGGCTCCGGGAATCATCAACAAAACCTGTGGTCCCGATCCAAACACTTCATAGTAAACGAAACAATCATTGTTTATAAACACCTGTCCCTCAGTTGACATACTTTTGTTAATTTTTTTGTGTTTATATAATATATGTTAAATATATTATAATTACTTGTTTGCTATAATTTTCTATTAATAAAATATAATAACTTTATTTCCAATATTGACTTAGATTATATACATTGTATTTTATTATTATACAATAAATACAGTATACCTGTATATACAATATATTATTGAGAAAAAAATTTAGTTTAACTTATAAATATTATTAAAATTTATAAATAAACAAAAAAAATGATAACATAATTTTGTTTTTATGTTTATTAATTTGAATCAATATCATTTGATAAAACTATTAAAAATATTATTATTTAAAAATTAAATTTAAAATTATTTATTTAGCAAAAAATTCTGGACAATAATTTTGAATTCACTTTTATATACCTGATGTATATTATGTCCTCCCAATGGAAATCTATTATTATCAATAATATTAATAAAAATTTTCAATTATTTAATGCAATAATAATAATAATAAACAAAAATAACGTGGTGATTTTATGTTTCTATTTTTTAAAATATAAATAATTAATTAATAAAAAAAAATTACCTATGTACTTTAGTTTGCGGTAAGTTAGCTTGCAAATGTTCAACATGCTCCAATTGAACCAATGGATCCTAATTAAAATTAATTAAAAAATATATATAAAAATATATAAATAAAAATTTATAAAAAAATTACATATATATTTAATTTTTAATTAAATTAAAAATGTCTGTTATTAGTAAAAGTAGTATTAATTTTAATAATTTTATATATAAAAAAAATACTAATTCAATATTTCAATTAAATATTTTTGTTTAAAAAATATATTAATTCAATAATGATATTATGGTCGGACACACCCACACCCGTACCCGATCTCCATGAAGTAATAGTATGCGACACTTAATACTATCGTATTTATTATAACAAATGCCTTTAGGAAACAATTGGGGAAAGTTGTCCACAAAAATTATGTGTCGCCTCCACAGGTTCTGTAACTCAGCCCTGTCCTTATAGACCGTCAGATATCTGTCAATCATAGTTTTGTCCCAATTGTCAATGTTTTTAGTCATTAACATGTTTTTGTTGTGCACTTCAGTGGCATAAGTAGGTAATGCCAACACAACCAAATCGGTGACTACATCGGGATAGTCGGCGGCCAACACCAGTGCCACCCGTGAACCCTCGGACCAGCCAAACACTTGAAACTTTTCATAGCCTAGTGTCTGGTAATAAATAAATAAATAAATTAATTTTAACACTTTATATAATAAAAATAATTGATTTATTTAATACTCGCATCAGTTGTACACAACAGTCGGCATCGTTTGTATATATTTTGTTTGAATGTCGTCTCAATGGTGGCCTCGATCGGCCCCAACCGGGCAGCTCAATGGCAATTAATGTAAATTGATCATGGTCAAATGCGTATGGACCAGACAACTGGTCACTATAATCGGTACTACCAGTTCCTTATAGTTATGATAAACATTAATTATAAACATGAAATTTTTTTTATCTATATATAATTTTTATATACCTATAGCTCCGGGAATCATAAGTAAAATATTAGGTCCCGAACCAATTTTTTCGTAATATATTGGCCAACCATTTATAGATACCGGAGCCGTGTTTGACATTTTTTATTATTATTGACAGCAATTTAATTATTTTATTTCAGTTATTTAAGAATAAGAAAATTTTTGTTTTGTCTTTTTTGGTTAAAATTTACAATAATATAGTTTTTAAAACATTTGAAAATATTTAATAATTATTTTTAATCAATTTTTCCTATTACCTAAATTGATAAATTTTATATTCATATAAATCATATCTATAAATAGTTACTCAAATATAAGCTAATATTAATTATGATTGTATAAAATCATGCAATAATTTTTTACATACAATACAATACATAATTAACAGTTAATTACTAATTTTTATATTTATTATTATTAGTACTATTAATATAATTTATTAATAAGTAATAAATTTTTAGTTAATTGTTGACAATTTTAATTAAGTGTATTTTATAATCTATTGTGAATAAATTGAATAATTAATAATAATTTACATATTTTAATGGAAACAAATAAAAATAAATGATACAAACGGTGTACAGTATATTGACATTTATGGTATATGTTTTGGTTGACATAATAATAATTTTTTTTATAAAATATTACAATTAATTATTATTGTTATATTAATTTATAAATTTTATTGATATATATATATTGTATATAAATAATATATAAAGTATTTATTTTTTTAAAAAAAATCAATCTAACTTTAAAATCAAAACCATTTTATGAATGTAAAAATTATTGTAAATATTTTTCCAGTATATAAACGACAACACATCTATATATACAAAAATTGTATATAAAAAACATTATTATACTAATTATTTATTTATTTTTTTTGGTGTAGATTATTTATAAATTTATTAAAATGATCAATGTCAATTATCATTTTTTTTTCATTAAAAAAACAATTAAGTTTAATTAGCAAAAAATTCTTCGACTATTCGTTTATATGAAGCTGAATATCTTATATGTAAGTCATGGTTACCATTGGGAAAACGTTTCAATTTTGCCGATTTAATATGTTTGATGACATACTCCGGGTGCTCTAACGTACTGATCGGATCCTAAATTAATTAATTAATCAATCAATGGGTATGATTAATATTTTTGTTTAACAAAAAATAATAATAAATATCTTTAATAATAATAATAATAATACTGTAGTAGTAATACAGTAGTTGTCATATACTACAAGTAATAGTAATCATTGATTACTAATCAATAATTAATTACAAATTTAATACAAATTTACAAATTATTTACAAAATGCTATCAACCTTATAAATGTTAATAATAATAATAATAATAATAATAATAAATCATATCATACCCTATCTCCATGTATGACAAGTATCGGGAAATTGACTTTTTTATAATGATCAACATTGGTGTCCATCGGAAAGTATGAATTAAAATAATCGCAATACCGTAGATGTCTGTCCCATAGATTCTGTAGTTCCTCTTTGCTCTTATAGGTTCTCAGATAGCAGTCGTGCTTCTCCTGACCCCAGCTCTCGACATTGCGGGTCGACTTGAGTACGGCCAGTGTTCGCGGATACAAAAATGTCAGTACACCGTGAATGACCATACGCTGGATTGAACCGGGATATTTGCAGGCCATCCATAGGCCGACAATTGCACCATCAGACCAACCAATCAAATAGTATTTATCGTAACCTAAGTGCTATAAAAATACAAATTAATTATATATAAGACTTAATAGACATAATTAACATAAACTAGTTATCAATATACAGTATATATATATATATATATATATATATATATATATATATATATATATATATATATATATATATATATAAACTCATACATTCATTAACTTATGAAAACACTCGGCATCGTTATCGTAGATATTGCTGCCGTACGGTCTAACCGGTGGTCGCGATCGGCCCCAACCGGGCGCTTCCACAGCGATTAATGTATACTTTTGCAGATCCAGTGCCTCATCGCCGTCCAGTTGTTCATAGAAATCGCTTAGTCCTGAGCCTAAAAAAATTAATTGTTTTAGATATCGAGTATTTATTATTTTAGTTTTTATTTGTTTTCGAAAAAATAAAATTACACAAACCTAATGCTCCCGGTATCATCAGCACCGGTATGGGTCCAGTGCCACGCTTCTCATACCATATGGGCCAACCATTAATCTCGACCGAAGCGCTGGTCATAGTTTATAAATTAATATCTTTACAACGGGTTTACAGTATTTTTTGTTGTTGAATATTATTTATTATTTGATTATATATATGTATATATACTTTATAATAATTTGTATATATATACTGTATATACATATAATAAGTTGCAATTTAAAAATAACAAAACAAAATGAAAAGGAAAAATTAGTAGATAATAAAAATTTAGTTACAAAACCAGTTATACAGTTGTTGTTGTTGGGGAACTAGACATTAGTTATGATGCACCGGTATCTTAGATAACTGTGTCATAACATAAGTCAGCCCATGTGTGTGTATATATATGTCATTATAAATATATTGGCGATCATTCACTTGCATTCAAAAAAAAATATAGTCTGTATATTAGGTAATAGCCTTGTAATACAAGACTTTGAAATTATTAACAATTTTTTTTGTGCATAAAATGCAAAAATAAAATTTTTTAGATATCATACTATACATGTACAGTACATTGAAAATTGGTTAATAATTATTAAAATTGGTTAATTGTATTATACTGTATTAACTATAGTTTTTTAAAAATACCCAATATTTAGACAAATATTATCACTCAATAGAAACATAAATTACTAAAACGATTATATTTAAATTAGTCATATAATAATAATAATAACAATAACAACAACAAAATAAATGGCAATTAATAATTTTAATTACTGTATGTAAAAATTTATTAATTTGTTTTTTTATATATTTTTATTAATATCATACTATAAAATAAAAATATGATATTATTTATATCAATAGTACTTTTAATAAACTAAATAATCGTATGATATTTTATGATTATATTTTTTGATGTTTTATACACTGTATTAATATTATTTAAAAATTAATATCATTTTATAATGTACTGTAATTATTATCATTGATGTCAGTAATTTATATAATGACTTTTAAAATAGGAAGTTAAACAATAACATTAAAAAAATAATGTTTTATAATAATTTGAAACAATTTGACAAAAAATACCCAGGTATTAAATTTAGAAAAATAAAAATTACAATAATAATAATGACGTTATAAACTAAAAATATATAATTATAATATAATAAACTAATAGTAAAGTACTTATAATGTATTGAATACTACGATTATTTTGAAATATTTAACTAATTTTATAACATAATACCTCAATAACAAAAAAATTATTACAATTTTTATGTGTAAATAAAATATATTTTTTTAATATACAGTATATTTAATTTATATAAAAATAAATTTATAATTTTAATTTAAACAAAAAAATCTAAACACAAACAAAAAAAAATAATTAATTAATTTCAACGAAAATCATTGCACTCTTTGATAAACTGTTCGGTTATTCGCTTGACTTCAGCCGGATATTTATGATGACAATTATGGGTACCTCTCGGAAAACGATGCAATTGACAGTACGGCACGTGTTTTTCCACGTGTTTCGGATGATCCACACAAACAAGCGGGTCCTTACCGGGTAATTAAATTCAATTCAATTACTGATTTCAATTTAATTAATTAATAATTATTTTATAGTTATATTACTGACCAGATCGCCGTGAAATACAAGTACCGGACATCTAATGGTTTGCAATTTGTTGGTTACATAACCATTGGGAAAGGCTTTGATATAAACTTTACAAAAGTTGATATACCCGTCCCACATTTTTTGTAAGTCATCGTCGCCATACACTGGCAGATAATTGTCGCGCATTTCCTGCGGCCAGTTACGTGTGTTGGCAGTGGCCAGTGTCGGTGCAACTGTTTGCGGTGTTATTATCATAAATATTGATATCACTGGGGGATTAAAAATACAAATTTTAATATATATATATATATATATAGTAGTAGATTATTAGTAGTATATGTGATATAATAATAGTTAGTTAGAGTCTATGGATATGGTATACATACATATTAAACCCTTTACACGGCTCGGGTATCTCATGGACATTGTTAGGCCAACTTTGCCGCCCTCACTGAAGCAAAATATTATATAGTTTTTATAGCCTAATGTCTACAAAAAAAGTAATTTATTAAAATTTAATAACCACTTAAAATCGTTTTCAAATTTTCAATAATGAAACCTCCATTAGTTTGGCGGCCACATCGGCATCGTTTATGTAAACATTTTGACCGTAAGGTCGCTCGGGTGGCCGCGACCGACCCCAACCGGGCAGTTCCATAGCTATTATGGTAAACTGATCATGGTCAAATGAATTTTGGCCCTCCAATTGTGGCAAAAAATCACTTCTACCGGTTCCTTAATTAGCAAATAATAATAATTTTGTACTACTATTGCTAATACATGATTATCATTGATTTAGCTTACCTATGGCACCGGGCAAAAACAGCATAACCTCAGGCCCGGTACCAAATTTTTCATACCAAACGGGCCAACCATTTATATCTAATTTTTCGCTGGTCATTGTATCACAATTTACTCTTTTATCTAATACTGTATTATAATATAATAATTATATTATTTAAATTGTGTCACTCAGTAATGAGAGAAACAAACAATAAACTCTTGGATATAACTATTTTCCTTAAGATTATTAATGTATAAGAAAACAACATATACTGTATATAAAACTAAAAATAATCAATTGCTTATACGACAGTATATCCTAATGTTGAATAACTGGTTTTTATTATAATATTATTTATACATTATACGATATATAAAACTACGTTATGTCATATTTTTAATATATATATATATATATATATATATATGTCTAACTAAAGAGACTTAACTGTAATTATCTATTTTTTAAAAAAAACTATTAATTATAATGTAAATGCAATTTATTGTATCTCATTTGATTGATAAAAAATGTATAAAATTAAATAAGTTTGTATTAATTAATTATTATTGATTTATATGCACAATTTAATAATAATCTCAAATATAATAATAAAATTTAACTATAACTAACCAAATTGTATCATTACTACTTATCTTCAATTAATAATAAGTTAATAATTTTAATAATAACAATAAAATAATAAAATTTATTTAATAACTTTACATTAAAAAATTATTTTATCATTTATATTGTAGAATATTTAGTAAAAAATGCTCAATATTTTAAATATAATCATTTATTATAAAAGCATAAATAAATTTAACATATGTTTTAATTTTTTTTAAATCTAAGTAAAACTAAACAATTATAAAATATTAATTAATTTGTGGAAAACTTTTTTAAAAATAATAAAATAAGTAAAAATTAATTGTTTGTTTATAATATCATTATTAATGTATTGCTATTTAATATTTCAAGTAATAATAGTATTAATATTTTTTCACATTTATTATTTATTTGTTATATATATATATCGTATGACTTTTTAAATGATTATATAATATATTATAATGATTTAAAAATTCATACGATATATATGACAAATAAATAATAAATGTGAAAAATATACTAATAATGATATTATAAACAAACAATTTATTTTTACTTATTATATTTTATTATTTCAAAAAAGGTATTCATAATATAACAAACAATTTGGCAAAAATAACCAGGATAATAAATTTATTATAATAATAATAATGACTTTATAAATAACTATTAAATATTAAAAACAGTTCATGCGTTAAAACATAAGATTAATTAGAAAAATATGATAATTTTATTGTATTTATAAATTATAAAATAATATGTAAATTTTTATTGTAAAAAATAATAATAAAAAATAAAATTGAATTACAAGACAAAAACAACAAAAATAATAATAATAACAACAACAACAACAAAAATGTTGATACTTTTTAAATATAAATATGAAAAGTGGTTTAAACAAAAATTATATTTATTATATAAGACAACTTATTTATATTACTGTATAATATATATAAAGAGCCAGTCAATTGATCTTGCGCCACGTAATTTTTGAATAACTTTTAAACGGTTATAGATAATTTAATTCTGTAAAATACATTTAAGAATATCATATCGACCACACTTAATATACACACAAACGCAAAACTAGGATGACCAGATATACAGAATATCGGGACCAACGAAAGACACTATGCTACAGGTCAAACCACAACTGATAAATTTATTATGACAATGAAACTTTGTAGTCAAGAAATAATAGTTTAATATAAAAAAGAATCATCAAAATCGAATTGGTAGTTTAGTTTTTATGGCTTGTTAAGTTTGTAATAAATCTTATTATATAACATGGTCTAAAATAAAAATGACGTTATTTATGATTATTATATATTTATAAGATAAAATTTTCAATTATATTGCTAATTGTAAAAACGAAATTTTAATATATCGACTAGTTTTCAAAATTATCGAATTTTAATATAAATTATATTATCAAATTACAATAGTGTGATTTATATTCAAATTCGATTATTTTGAAAACTAGTCGATATATTAAAATTTCGTTTTTAGAAATATTAATATAATTTAAAATTAAATCTAATAAATATATAATATTCATAAATAACGTCATTTTTAATTTAGACCATATTATATAATATGATTTATGACAAACTTAACAAGCCATAAAAACTAAACTACCAATTCGATTTTGATGATTCTTTTTTATATTAAACTATTATTTCTTGACTACAAAGTTTCATTGTCATAATAAATTTATCAGTTGTGGTTTGACCTGTAGCATAGTGTCTTTCGTTGGTCCCGATATTATGTATATCTGGTCATCCTAGTTTTGCGTTAGTGTGTATATTAAGTGTGGTCGATATGATATTCTTAAATTTATTTTACAGAATTAAATTATCTATAACCGTTTAAAAGTTATTCAAAAATTACGTGGCGCAAGATCAATTGACTGGCTCTTTATATATTATAGTTTTAGTTAGTTAGACACTGTTTTTTTTAGTTAATAAAATTTCAACGAAAATCATTACACTCTCTAATAAACTGTTCGGTCAATCGCTTGACATCAGCCGGATATCTATGATGACAATTGTGACCACCTTTCGGGAAACGATGCAATTGACAGTACGGCACAAGTTTTTCCACTAGTATCGGGTGATCTACACAAACAAGTGGATCCTTTTTTTTTTGAAAACAAAAATAATTACCGGTAATTAATTTACAAATAATAAAATAAACTAAATTATTAATATCTATATATATATATATATTACTGACCAGATCACCGTGAAATACAAATACAGGACATCTAATGGTTTCCAGTTTGCTATTTACGTAACCATTGGGAAATGATTTGAACATAAATTTACAAAAGTTGATATACCCGTCCCACATTTTCTGTATATTATCCTCATTGCCATAGACTGGCAGATAATTGTCCAGTATTTCCTGCGGCCACTTACTTGTGTTGGCCGTAGCCAGTGTCGGAGCTACCGTTTTCGGTGATATTATCGTAAATATTGATATCACTTGATTAAAACAAAATTCAACAATATGTTTTTAAAAGTTAGATTGTTTGTATTAAAATATTTTTTTTTTTTAAATTATTTTGTATACAAACTAATCCCTTTATACGGCTCGGGTATCTTATGGACATTGTTAGGCCAACTTTGCCGCCATCACTGAAGCAAAATACTATGTAGTTTTTATAGCCTAATGTCTAGACAACAACAAAAAAAATAATTATTAAATTTAATAACCACTTAAAATCGTTTTCAAATTTTCAATAATGAAACCTCCATCAGTTTGGCGGCCACATCGGCATCGTTGATGTAAACATTTTGACCGTACGGTCGCTCGGGTGGTCGCGACCTGCCCCAACCGGGCAGTTCCATAGCTATTATTGTATATTGACGATGGTCAAATGAGTGGGCGCCCTCCAATTGTGGCAAAAAATCACTTCTACCGGTTCCTTAATTAGCAAATAATAATAATTGTTATTATCAACACTTGAATTATTTAATATTGTTTAACTAATTTAGATCCCAGTGATTGGCAAACTAGTGTTATCCAAATGATTAAAACTTTATGATGACTATATAAACGTAACGTATTTTAAAATAATTATTTTATAATTTTATATATATTAAGCAAAAATATAAAGTACTCATTTAATTTGTACTATAGTTTATAAATATGTAATTGAATTTTATATAATTTTAGTTATAAAATTATTGATTTAGATATATAAATAAATTATGATAATTCTATTAAATTACAAATTAGTAATACTTTATCATTATTTATGGCAATTTTGGTTAATTTATTTCAAACAAATATTAATTTTTCAAAATTTTTATAAATCAAAATAAATTTATAATATACTAAAATGCATATATTTTATTAAATTACTTAAAATTTATTATTATAAACTGTTTTTTTTAAATTAATAATCATACAGTACATTTAAAAATATGTAACTTTAAACTGTAATTTACATGAATTTTTTTTCATAATTTAAAAATAATTACCGTAATTTACATTGATAATTTATTTTTAAAAAATTATTATTTTAAAAATTTAACTACTATATTAGATCAGTTTACCTATGGCACCGGGCAAAAACAGCATAATCTCAGATCCAGTACCAAACTTTTCATACCAAATGGGCCAACCATTAATATCTAACTGTCCACTGGTCATTGTATCACAATTTCGCAGCAATACTGTATATTATAAATATTATAATTTAATTAATTCACTATAAATATTGTATAATAAACTAAATACAAACAGAACTATATATTTATATATTAAACTATTTTTAATATAAACATAGTATCAAATGTTTTTCTAACATTTTTTAATTAATGTATAAAAATTTTTAAAAAAATAAATTTATAAAAATCATTTTCTTAAATATATCTAAAATATTATAGTTATTGCACAACTGGTTTTTACTATTTAATATATTTAAAATCATATTAAATGGTTATTATTATTATTAATGGCTACTACAGTATTATAAATATAATAATAACTGTAAATATTAAAAATATATGATATTTTTTATATATATAAAATAACAGTTTAAAAAAAACAAAATTATCCCGTTAATTATAAATATACAATGTATATTATACATGATTAATAATTATGAACAATATACAGTAAATTTAAAATTTATTTTTAAAAAAAACATTAATATGATATATAAATTACTATTTATTGAAAATAAAACTACAAATTAGGGAAAAATTTTATTGCCTTGAAATAAATGTACATTTTTTTAACTATAATTAGTGATTAATTTTTTTTTTATTTTACTAATTTTTTTGTGAACATCTGTAAGCGTTTCCACCCCCTATATATATATATATATATATATATATATATATATATATATATATATATATATATATATATAGATATTACAAATAGTATTGTATATATTTTATAAATAGTTTAATATTTTTTTTGAAAATAAATTATTAAATCATTATGTATAATAATAATACATTCAAACTAAATAATAATTACAACAACAAAATATATATGTTTTTTTTAAAAATCAATTTTATTAATCATATTTGTAAAATAATATACATATATATATAGTATATCTATATATTTAATTTCAAAAGTATTTGTTCAAAGATAAATCAAATAGCTTTAAATAAAAATATTACTTAAACCTTATAATTTAAAAAAAAATTGTTGTTTAAAATGTAATTAATTTAAAATACAAAAAATCATTACAAACTAATAAAAAACAATTCGGATATTCGTTTGACTGAAACCGGATATCTTTGATGACAATTGTGGCCACCATTCGGGAAACTATGCAATTGACAGTCGGGAACGTATTTATCAATGTATTTTGGATGATCCAAACTAATTAGTTGGTCCTATTTTTATAGGAGGGGGAGGCAAAAAAAAGTGTAATACATTTTTATATTGTGTCCTTAAATTACCCACACATCCATCCCTCCGCCCTTCCCCCCCCCCCCGAAAACTAAAAATATATTATCAAACCTGATTGCCGTGAATTATAAGGATCGGACATCCAATGGACTCAAGTTTGTCCGACTCGATCACGAATCCATTGGGACAGGTTTCGGTAGTCGACTTTAAAAAGTCGATATACTTGTCCCACATGTTTTGTAAGCTGCTGTCCTGATTGCCATACACTGGCAAATAATTGTCCCGCATTTCCTGTATCCACTTACGTGTGTTGACCGTGGCCAGTATCGGAGCTACAGTTTCCGGCGATATTATCATAAATATTGATATCACTTAATAAACAAATTGAAAACAAATGATAAAGTTAGATGGTTTGTGTAATAAAAAAAAATAATTATAATTATTTATAGTCATTACAAACTAATCCTTTTATACGGCTCGGGTATCTCACGGACATTGTTAGGCCAACTTTTCCGCCCTCACCGAAACAAAATAATATATAGTTTTTATAGCATAATATCTACATTATAGTAAATAATTTTATAAATTAATAACAAATTTTTAAATCTTTAATAATTTTTAATTTGATAATTTTAAAACCTCCATCAGTCTGGCGGCCACATCGGCATCGTTGACGTAAACATTTTGACCGTACGGTCGTTCGGGTGGCCGCGATCGGCCCCAACCGGGTAAGTCCATAACTATTATGGTATATTCATTATGGCTAAACGATTGCGGACCCTCTAATTGATGAATAAAATCTTGTCTACCGGAGCCTTAATTAAACAATTAATAATTTTTATTATAATCAATTTAAATTATTATATAATATATATAGTTTACCTATAGCATCGGGCAAAAATAACATAATCTCGGGTCCCGTACCAAACTTTTCATACCAAACAGTCCAGCCATTGATATCGACTACTTTTCCGCCACTGGTCATTGTATTACAATTTTATTTGTAATATTGTTATATATTAAATTAATATTAAATTTATTTACTAAACTTCGGTTAGTTTTTAAACACACGAATAAATTAAATTTTTTTCCTCTGGTTAATTGAGATCATATATATATACAGTATATATAATAAATTTAAATAAAAAAATAACAACAAAATAAATAAACATAATCAATTGCTTATATAATTTAGTTATATTCTACAAAAAATAAATAAATAAATGGTTTTTACTAATATATTATTGAAACACAATTGCATAACGTTATACAATACTGTGTTAGTATTTTATATAAAAATTACAAAATCTTATTCAAATATTAATAATCTAAAAAATTATTTTAAAAAAACTATTTACTAAAGTAAAAAAGTAAAACATATATTTTAAAACATAATAAAAATAGTAATAAAAATAGTAATAAAAATAAACATTGATTTATATAACTAATTTAATCCTTACATAACATTTTAAATGGCATTAACATATATGTTATTATATAATTGATGGTAATTATCGGTTGTAATGAGACTGCAATTGTATTAAATAAAATATACCCAAAAAAATTATTTTACATATACTCCATAATCACTATAATAATAAATAAAATAACTTAATCTTTATACCGGTACAATATTTTTAATAAAAAATAATTGGTATAATTTATAAAATGTATTTAAAAGTGTGCATTATATTGAAACCTATATTTTTTTTTTAAATACTAAATTTAGTTAATAACAGAAACAATAAAATATTGTAATAAGTATGTAAATAACTAAATAATTAAATTATTTTGTTTTTTTAATTAACAATAAAAAATAATTAGATATTAGAAAAAACAAGAATTTTCAATAGTCTGTCGATTAATATGAATTGCAGTCACTTCTTGTGTATTAAGTTTTTTAATCCTCAATTCAATTGACTGTCCAATGGATAACTGATTGATGGCATTCATTAAGTCATCAAAATTGTTAATTGATTTTTTATCGATAGTTATAATTTGATCACCAATTTTAAAGTTTTGTCTAACAAATTGAAAATTTCATTTAACTAATGATTAAACATTTACTACTAAATTACTAATATATTTATTTTATTAATATATTACTGTAATTATCTGTAAATACCTGACATTCTCAGCGTTCGGCATATATTTATGGACACAACAGGTTTGGTTATCAGTACTGTATTTGACAAAAACACCGATAAATGGTTTGCCGGAGGAATACAACTGTTTTCTATCATTTACTAATTTCTGACGAATTTCATGTCCTTTGCGTTTAGATCTGTCTATAAAATCTTGAATCAATTGAATGATTAGAATAGAGAGAGAGAGAGAGAGAGAGAGAGAGAGAGAGAGAGAGAGAGAGAGAGAGAGAGAGAGAAATTAGTTGAAGTATTATAAAATTTTTGCGTATATACTGTATGTATTTATAAATATAAAGTAGTAGTACCTAATAGATCCTGTCTTCTAGTAATGGTTAGTAATTTAAAACCACCACTAAATAATACACCCACCACTTGGCCATCCATGTTGACCACTGCTCCACCGGAACAACCTTCTGAAGCGGTTATCGGTGCAAACATATATAACTGGTTTGTGGGCCACGTGACGGCCCTATACTTATACCATCCTTCTGTAACCTCATCAATATAGTATACATATTTTATAATACCGGTTATCACTGATCTGTCCAAATCAGGAAATCCAATGGCCATTACTTGATCGCCAAATGTGGCGTCTGTTTTGGCAATCCTAAGCTGAGCTAACTGTCCGGACTTAATCTTTGGTAATGTCAACAGTGCCAGATCCAGATGCGGTTCAACATAAAGCACATGCGCCCACAACATGCTTATTGAATGTCTTAAGTTAGGATCATTAGGTGGTAAGTCAGCCAACAGGTCTTGCACTCGGGAAGCATACGGTAGCCAAACGTTAACGAAAGGACAGTCTTCAACGTTGTGATAATTGGTGACAATTAGGCCAATAGTTGAATCTACTATCCAACCGGTGCTCCAATATATGAGATCGTCGTCAATTAAATTATTTCGCGTAATTTTGACCACACTTTTAATGCATTTATTGTAAACATTGTCTATCCATTGATTTTCATTTTCATTAGCCAACTGAGCAAATCTCATAGTCCTCATCGCTGAAAGTGATCTCAAACGTAGACACGACTTAACAGATATTTGATATGATGTCTGTCTGGTCTTAGGCTGTTGTTGGCGATACCAATGGTTAACAGCAACCGTAGACAACAGCAACAGTGAAGTCCTTTATATTAATAAATAAATAAATAAAATCAATTAATGACATTCAATGAGTACTTCAATACTTTGAAACATTAATAAAAGACTAACTGTTTATTAAAAATAAAAGATTTATATACCATTCGTTGCATATTTTAAAATATTATTCAATTAACTCACAAAAAAAATTAATTTAATTTAGAATAGACTATACATTATATCTGAAATCTAATCATTGATTTATTTGTCTAATTTCATGCACGACAACAATATACTGTATAACGAATTAATGATTAATTTTTTCAAATAACTAATTTTTACTAAATATTTTCAATAGTAATATTTGTTGTTTGAATTTTTGTCTATTTTACAAAATTAAGATATTTTTTGTTTTATTTTACTGACTGTTACTTAAAAACTAACTGTAAGACATAACTGTCCTCAGCTATGAGCAGTAATAGACAAAAAATTGAATGTAATATACTGTTTGGTAACAATCGGACACTACTTAATATTGATGTCGGTTGGGAAGGAATTCCCTTTAATATTGTGTTCAATACGATAATAGCTGCGGTAAGTCGGGTTAGATTGGATCGGGTGTGACAGTCATATACAGTATTAATAAACTATAGTTTTAATTGAATATTATTTCAAAGGGTTTACTGATAGCATACGCTGTGATTCGTTGGAGAGTAAAAAAAGTTGGTAATAAAAGCAAAGAACAGATCGGAAAGTTGTTTTTGGTGGACAATTGGCTGCCATTCATATACGGCGACAAAAAGACAAACGACAGAATAACAGCCAAATTCAAAGAAATCGATAAAAGACATCATTTGGCTTATTTGCCGCCAATTCTTCACGAATACGAAGACCAAATGCCCGAAAAAATTTCGGTCGAAGAAGTCATTGCCGAAGAGGATGCCAGTATCGGCTTCTACAGACATCCCAGTTCACTGTCAGTACACAGTTCACTAAAACGGGGACCAAAACAAGATCAACAGATTTCCAACAACGATATACCGACGGTTAGGTCGGAACTGAGCGAAAAACTGCCGGACGATCCCTATACACAATTGACGACCGAAATATGCAGCGATACAGACGAGGATAGGGAGGTTCGGCAGTTAAAGTCGGTGCTAATCCACGACTATGTCTCCAAAGAAGTAGAAAAGTCGACAAAAGTTGAGGTAAAGATTTTTTAAATAGAAAATTAATTTAATTAATTCATTAACAATGTATTGACAAACACTACACTATGATAGCCAAAGACACCACCAAAACCTGAGATCAAACTCTTGGATTATGTGAAACAAGTGATCAAAAAAAATCTAATGATAACCGACGAGAAGATAATGAAGAATAAGGGAACCGATGCCATCAAATATCTACTGTTTCAACGATATCTCATCTATTTTCAGACTCTCATGACTTGTGTTTGTTTGTTAATTAYTTTACCGATCAATCTCTACGGTAACGCAGGTATGTTATAATAATAATTATTATTTAAAGAAAACTTGTTAGCTTTTAGTAACCAGTGTTTGAACACTTAAACACATACCAGTGCTAAGTAAGCATAAGTTTATGCGGACAACTATTTCCAATTTGGGTAACGAATCCAATCTGGTTTGGATCCATTCGCTGATGGCTTGTATAATGATAGTGACGGTATGTAATCATCAATTTGGTGGACATTTTTTTCTTGTTTGTTTGTCAATTGTTATACAAACAAAGTGTAAATATTGATTTTTTTAATGGTTAGGGCTATTATATGACACACCACTTTCACAATGTTGTCAACACCCATACGCGTGACGTCGACCAGAAGACACTGATCATCGAAAATATAACGAAATCGGGAAGAAAGTCATCGCAATTGTTAAACTATTTCAAGAAACGGTTCCCGAAAGTGATGATCAAACGGATAACGTTTGTCTACGATATCCGCAAATTGGATAAATTGGATTACAGACTGTTGACAGCCATCGAAGCTAAACAATATTGTCATCGATATTGGCTGGAGTTTGGCTACCGATGCGAAGTCAGGCCATACTGTTTGGGCAAATTTGGAGGCGTCTGTCTCTGTTGCGGCTGTTGTCCCAAATTGGATGGCACTCTGTATTACGCCGAAGAAAAAGCCGAACTCAAGAATCTGATCAAAAAAGAAGTAAAAAGATTATTTTGGGAACCGGTTGGCCGCGTGTTTGTCGTGTTTGCCGACGAGTCAATGGCTGCACAGTTAGTATTTTTGTCAATTAACCTGACTTTTGGCAATTTTATTAATTTTTATATTTGAATTATAGGGTTTACAACGAATTTTACTACCGGTGCTCGTGTTGCACCCGTTTCCTGAAGTCCATTGGCCGGATTTTTGTGAGTAACCAAACTACCGATCCACTCGAGACATACAATTGGGAAGTGAATTATGCACCGAATCCCGAAAATCTTGAATGGTTTGTCTCATCCGTAATAATATCTAATCATATATTTATTCAATAAACCCGTTCTCTATTATCCTTTCAATAATCTATAGGACAGACCTATCACTGGACAAAGGATACAGTTGTCTAATGAGTGTCATATTTCATACGATACTGACGTTAATATTTTTGTTTCTGTCGACGCCGTCCATTGCCGTCAATATATTAATGTCTCCGTTTGGCAGTGAAGACATGCCAGTACTGGTAGGTATTTTCGTCTCTAATTTTTTGTATTAAAAAAATTGTTATTGGATTTGTATTAAACGTCATTTAAATAAGTTATTTGTACGTGAATTCAGGTCGGTTTAAGACAGTTTGGTCAGCCATACCTGTTGATGGCAATGACTAGTATACTGCCGTCACTAATCAGTTTAGTCCAGAATCAGATCCCATATAAGACAAAATCTTCATTATCTCACGCACTTATGTTTAAGTCATATTTTTTTCTCATATTAATGGTACTCATACTTCCAGCGCTCGGTCTTTACACGTAAGTAACTGTTCCCATAGTATTACGACTACAATAAACACAATCTCTAATTGATCCAATCGTCATATCTTTTATGGTCAACAACAAAAAAAAACAGTTCCGCCGTAATGTTGGACATGTTATTCAGCGGTGAAAATACTTCGTCCAAACAGCAGATCCGATGGAATTGTTTGTTTCCTTCGGGTAACAGTGCCTTCTTCATGAACTATGTCCTATCGTCGGCCTTAGTCAGCAATTCTTTACAAATATTATTAGTTCCCGAAGCCGCCCAATACGCCCTGTATCTACTGGTGCTGTCGCGCTCAGTGGCCGAGTATGAGAGTGCCCGACTAAAAATACATTTTGATTTTAGTTTTGGCTCACGATATCCTATATTGTTGTTGATCTTTACGGTTGTCACCACTTATTCCATATCCAGTCCGCTGATAGCACCCGTAGGTTAGTATAATACTATATATTATCTTTTATATCATATACAGGATATAGTAATAATATTTCTATATTTATTTTATTAAATGTTATTTTTTAATAATATCTTCAATAATAACAATTAATAGGTTTGTTTTATTTGCTAACCAAACATCTGGTCGATCGTTACAATCTATACTATGTTTACAGTCCGTCGCCCATAACCGACAAAATGCATCGGACGGCCCTATATTTTGTACAAATAGCCTTTTTCTTTATGTCCTTTCAAGTGGTAACAACATTATCGCAATACAATCAGACATTTCTGTGGTTCGGGCCAGCGATACCCGTCGGTATCGTATATATCATACAATTGCCAATAATTGTTTACAAGTTTTTTACACATATTTGATTTTTTTGTTATTTATGTTTTTAATTAATATATAAAACTATATTTATTAATAGTAATAGTTAATAATAGTATATAATATTTAATAAATCTATTTTTATGAAATAAAATTTTGATTAAAACATTATAAACATGAAAAAAGTTTTCAATGCATTAAAAGTGTAGTAAAATATTGAGAAAAATAAATAATTTAAATATTGTAATATAAAAAAACATTTTTCATTAAAATATTTAATGACAATATCGCCGATGACATCATCACTGGTCAGTCATCATCATAGTTGGCCATCATTTCATCGATTGCATCCATGTCTTTAGCCAATTGTTTGTCGTCCAGATGAAGTTCACCGGTAAGATAGAGGACAGCGTTGGGCACAAAGTGTTTGATGAGTACCCGAGAGAGACTCCAGTCGTCTTCAAGAAATTCTTCGACATCAATGTCATCGTTGGGCGATCTCTGAAGCAATTCGTTATCAAATATGTCAAAAAACGACATTAACTTCATATGACTTTTGTTGCCAACACTTGATGTTTCATTCTTTACGCCCTTGACTTTCATCTGTCGTTCAGTGATATTACGACCAGTTTTCCAGTCTATACGACAACCGTGTCGTGCAATCGGATAATAGCCGTCGTGTTGTTGCCACGGATTGTCTTCATTTGGTTCGAATGACACAAAATAGGTTTTTGTCAGCTCTTGGTTTCCAAAGTATTCGTTGTCTTCAAACTTAAAGATGATATCAATTTTAAAGAGTTTGTCAACAAAACGGATACTGATATCAGTCAGATGTTGGAGTACGGGTTCGTCTCGCGGTTCGATCCATTGATGGATGTGATCAACAGTTTTCATGGCTTTAATCCAAAAGCCAGGTATGCCTTTCACCGGTGATGTTGTTGTTGTGGCGCTGCTTGTAGTCAGTAGTTGTTGATCTTCGAACATCTTCTTGAGACTGTCGGCTGAATTAGTAATAAAGTTCAGTCGTTTGTTGTCTGTAACTGTTGTGTTAGGATCTGTCTGACCACTGATGATATCATAAATTTTTTTGTCGATCTTCTCGTAGGAAGTGCTGTAATGAGAAGTTATTGTAAACATCTCTTTAGCCAATCGTCCGTCCAATTGGTATCTTTCGTATTGAAGTTTCTTTAGGGCAACAACTCTGTCATTGATAACCGACAGACAGTCATCCGATTTGCTGGTTGTCGGCTGATTGTCCGGTGCTTTGCTATTCATTGTGTTTGTCAATTGACTTTATCAGTAGTAGTAGTAGTAATACTAACAACTAAATGGTATTTTTTTAGTGGACACTATATTTAAGGACACAATTATGTGGAAAACTATTTTTTTTTGCTAGAATTAGTTAACAGTATTTTTTAGAATTTAATATTGAAATCAATTGGAAATATTTATTTCGCGTGAATTTTGTTATTATTTTGTAATAATTGTTTTAATTATTTGCGCGTTTTAACAATTATTAATTATTTAAAAATAACTTTTAAATTATATGTATTATTGAATTGACAGTTAATTTTAAAAATTTGTTATTATTGATATACAGATCTATGTAGTACTCTATATATAGATATATAGTAATTAAAAGTTATATAACTGTTTTACGATTGATTAATAATTGATTATAAATATCCATCCATTTGACTGACGAAACATAAAATAATGTGTTTTAAAGATCTTTTGCATTTGTTGTGTCCGTGTTTTATATCATTAGACAAGAAATTGGAGACAAAGAAGAAGAAGACGAAGAAGGAAAAGAAAGTCAAAAACAAACACAATATTAAAGATATAATGAGACAAACCATACCATCAGATAAGACTAAAGATGGATGGCTTACAAGTAGTGGTGAAGAGATAGCTATCAGTAAAATTGACAGCAAAGACCTGACCCGAGTATTTGAAATTCCCTATGACTTTGAATCGGTTGATGAATGTATACGACATCAGGGATGGGAACTAATGGCTGATATTGGAAAAGGCAGTAATTCTAAGGTTATGTATGGCATCAAAATCAATACACAACAACCTATTGCCTGTAAAATATTAGAAATTAATGACTACTACAACACCAACAATAAAGACCGACAAAATATTTGGGAAAGTTTTAAACGGGAATTAGTTTTATTAGTCCGAGAAAAACATAGAAATATTATACAAGTTTACGACCATTTTATTGTTGAGGAAAAAGTGAAAAATAAATTTTGTTGTTATATTGTTATGGAATTATCAAAACAGGGATCAGTTAAATATCAGATGTTAGATGAAAATACAGACGACTATAATATGAAGAAATATAGAAAACTGTCGGAAACTAAAACAAAATTATATTTCAGAGATACAGCCAATGGTTTACAGTATTTGCATAACAAACAGATTGCACACAAAGATCTTAAATTAGGTAATCTATTGGTATTTATTGATAACAACGGCCAAGAAATGGTCAAAATTGCCGACTTTGGGACGAGTCGTGTCAGCTATAAGGAAGATGTGGTCAAAGAGTACAAATGTTTCGGTACTGTCGAGTATATGTCGCCACAAATATTTAAGATTTATGTTTATATTAATACCGATCAGAAAATAGATAATCTGAAAAAATATAATCCATTTCAGGCCGATCTCTGGTCACTCGGTGTCTGTCTATATGTTATGATTTGCGCAAAAATACCGTTTCTACCCAACAATTGTGAGACATATAAAGATTTAAATTTAAATTTAGACACTTATAAGAGTATCTATCAAAATATGATTATAAAAAATTATGACATTTCAAATAATACAAGACATACCTATACTGAACATTGTTTCGACATTTTGTCCAAATTATTGCATCCAAATACAAGAGATCGTATCACTATTGACGGTGTTTTGCAACATAAATGGTTAAACAGTTAACAAAAATAAAAGTTTATAAATTTATAATTACTTTTTAAAACATACTTTTAATTTATTACTATTTGAATAAACTATTTTTTTTGTATAGAAAAGTCTTAATAAAATATCTATTATTATTCAAAATCTAAAATATAATAAATTGTTTTATTTGACTATAAATTCAATGATATTATTATTTATTAGTTATTTTTAGCGATTGTTTTGTCAATCAAATCATTACTCTATTATTATTATTATTATTGCCATTATTTGTGATGACATTATCAGTCAAATCTGTTTCACATTTATTGATATCTCGGTTGACATCCATTTCATAATTCTTTGGCAATGATTTCATTGTTTTTATATTATATTATATATTAATAATTTAGTCGTAATAATAATAATAACAAATGTTTTTTTTTTTAAATAGCAATTTAATTATCAGTAAATTAATTAATGTTAAACAAACTAAAAGTAAAAACTAATTTATAAGTAAACATGTGTACTGTATATATCATATAATAAAATATTGTAATGTTTTAAAATCATTATAATGTTAAACAAAAAAAAAATAATATAAACACTAGATTAGAAAATTATTGTATTAATATTTTTAAACTTATAAAAGTAAAATATTTAATAAACAAATATAGATAATACATATAGATATATAACTATTATATTATTACAACAAAATAAACGTTTATAATTAAAACTAAGTTTTAAATTAAATCTAAAAATAGTGGGAATAGTTTATATAATATAGGAATTTAATTATTCATAAATTTATTATTGAAATCATAAGTGACTTATTATTATTATTAATACTTTTTTTTAATAAAAAATATATATCTATTAATAAAATTAACTAATAATTTAAAAAGAAAAAAATGTAAACAAATAAACAAAACAAAAAAAACTAAATCATAAATATATTAATTATTCAATTGACTAATCAATTGATTGATTGATTGATTGATTGATTGATCACTACTGTACTTAACCGATGATCATCTGATCAGCCGATCTGCGGGTCTTACGTTTAGCGCCAAAAACAGACATTCGGCGTCGTTTACGGCCACCAATTGGTCGACCGCGTTGAACATGCGTAGCCCTAGTCGTCGATCGATGGCCACCAACACCCGCCGCCGGTTGGTGAACATTGTTGATACCTTTAAGCATTTCGGGCGACAACCGAAACAATACACCATTGATGGCCAATTCATTGGCCATTTTTCGTTCACTTTGGCCAACCATTCGTTCGGCTAGTCGGCAATTGTGTTTGGCCAACGCTATTATCTTGCTATTAATTTTGGTCAACCGTACGGTTGGCTCCAAATATGCTTTGGCGGTGTCGGGCATCACAATCAATGCCAACCTATGAATCCAATGGCGGACACAATCGATGTCCACACGATCGTCGGCCAAGTTGTCCAATTGGCCTAAATATTGGTAACACTTGTCTAGAAACTCGAATACAGTGTTTTCGGTGGCCATTTAGGTCATTAAACAGTCGGTCAGTCGGCGGTCAGCTTTAATTTTCGGCGGACAACGAATCAAATGTTATCAAACAATATATAAAACTAATAATAAAATTATTTTTTAATAAAAAAATGATTTTATTTTATGAATACATTAACAATGTTTGGGAATACAATCGATTGTCGCTTTAATGGACAAAAAATAGTATGTATAGAGAAAATAAATTATCGAATATTATTATCCAAATTAACAAAAAAAAATGGTCCAAACATTATCATTAATTATAGTTATATGTTTAGGACCTTTTATATACATATATATATATATATATAAGTTAATTTTTATTATAAAATTAATGATTGCTTTTTAAAATAAAAACCATACGATTATATACTGTGTTCAAAGTGTTCAACAAAAAAAATTGAGACTAACATTGAGTCACCAGTTATTATGTATTAAAGTTGAAAGTTTTAAAACGGAACTTAAAATTAATTATTTTTTTTATTTCCTATATATTCAGTGCCAAACAATCAGTAAAATATAATTACAGTTTAGACTATTTATTAGTTACGCATAGATATTGTATTAATAGTATAATAATTACAACAAACATATTTGCGGATCAATTGATCGGTGGATCAGATAAACCATTGATTTGTTTTTTTTGTTGGTGTTTACTATTGTTTTTAATGGTCGCTAATTAAAAAAAATAGTGTCCAACAAAACAAATAATCCAACAATCGGTTCCCAAGATATCTGTGTATTATAATACCAATTGGTTGTCCTATAGTTTGTTCAAAAAGCACCGTTAGATTTGGCTCATGTATGTCGTTGTTGTTGTTGTTGTTTAAAAATTATTAGACACACGACTCTCATCGATATATCATATGATAATGTCTGACAAATTAATGGATACAATCAACAATCAACTAAACATTTCACAAAATCTCTTAATTGCTAACAATGTCTTCATAATCATCTTATTGTTGTTGATTGTAGTGCTTATTGTCTTAGTATTGAAAGGTATTTATTGATCGTTTAAACCATTTGATAGATCAGAGATAATACTCTCGTTATGGTATTGTTGTTGTTGTTGTTGTTGTTGTCCAGTAGTTATGACCCAAACAACAACAAAAATGTTCCGCCAATTAACCCGACTATTAATTGTTGTCTCTGTTTTCTGCCCACCGATAGGCAACCGATTGGTCCAAAACAGAGCCAATTATCTACCGGAACGCGAGTCCAAATCGCCGTCGAAGTCGTTTGACGACGAAATTAAAGACGCCATGAAAGCAGCCGACGATTACGTAACAATGGCCGGACAACATCGTCGAAAAATTAGAAACGAAACAGTCGTCGTAGACGAACAAAAGGACAGACCCGCATTGGCCACTAGTGATGACGACCCGCATCACAAATATAAACTGGAAACCGAACCGAAAGTCCAGTTACACCGATTGTCTGGCGGCGAAACAACGGCTACGATGACAAGTGAATCGGACGATACGGCGGCTGCCAAGAGTCCGCGACGCCAGCGACGGTCGCCATCGAATTACGTTCCACCGATGAGACCGTACACACGACTGGCCGCTGCCACTATCGCTGATGGCAAGACAATGACCGCTATCACCGATAAGGAGGTGAGCGCTGACGATATGTTGAGCGACCAGTTTAGCGATACACTCAGTAAAATCGATACAATTATAGATGAATCGTTCGATGAACTGATTCAAACGGTGATCGACATGAATGACATGATATCAGTTGACGACGACGAAGACGACCGCCACTTATCCGACTATTGAAGAGTTAGTTTTAATTTCATTACATATTACTACTCATCAATTGTTATTCACTTTAATATATATATAATTAATACAATTAATATTTATTGACAATTTGTTTTATCGGTAAAATACTTTATTATAAAAAAATTATCGATACTTTAATATATAATTAGATTTAATACCAGAATAATTACCGGTAAATATAATTAATTATTATTATTTAAAATAGTTATTTATTACTAAACATTTGTATTTATTTGAAACAAAAAACATTTAACACTTATTAAATATTATTTAATTAGTAATTAACATTTATAATTAAGTAACAATTAAATGATTAAATTTAATATAAATGTATGATTTAAAAAAAATCATTAATTATATGGAATATTAGCAATGAATGAAATGAAACGATAGGTAATTATAATTAAAATACTACAGTATTTACCGAAAAAATTTTGAAAAATTCATATTTAAAAAAATATAGTGAATTCATTGGTATTATACTTGTAATTATCGTTTGGCGCGTGTCTTACGGCCCGACTTTGTGGTCGCCTTTTCTAACTTTTTCTGTTCCAATCGTTCTCTGACCTCAAGTTCGGTAGGCGTCGGCACATATGTTGACGACGATCGTCGAGTATTCGGCGAAGTGTCCGGTGTTTTGGTGACAGTTGACAAACGATTTAAAGCTAATGATCGCCGATCGGTAACTGAATTGGCCAGCACTGGAACCTGCGATGGACGAGGTGTGGCGATAGACTTTCGGGCCGATGTCTTAAACTGAGTCGTACCGATTGGCATAGTTGGCCGATTAGCTAACATAAATCTAGGTGTCGGTCCACCAATTGATTTCCTAGCAGTTGTTTTTGATCCAAAATGTCTAAAATCTATATTTACTTTTTCCTCCTCCTCTTCATCCGATTCATTAACTTCTTCTTCTTCTTCATCTTCTTCCTCCTCCTCTTTAACATTATTGATGTCATACTCAGGACTGGAGACATAGGTTCGCGTAATTCGTCTACTATTGTTGAGCTCAATGTCCGAGTCGGACATATCGCCGCCACGAATCGATTTTCGGCCGCTAACCACTTGTCTCATACGGGAACCCAAACCATCCGACGCTATGGACGACGACGGTGGTCGTGGGTTAGACGAAATAACACTCATACCACTGGTACGGGTCCTCTTAACCGGTGTTGTCGACACCCTAGGAGTTGTCTCACGTTTGCGTTTGTTGTCTGTCGTTACCGTCGGCTGCTGACTACCGACATAGTCGTCGGCCTTAAGGTCTGACACTTTAAATTCAAACTCTTCCGACTCTTGAATAGCAATCAACGCCTTCCTCAGTAGCGACTTCTGAGCCATATTGAGTACCGGTAACATTGGGAGATCCTCTTTGATATCAAACGCCATCAGCGCATCTTTGTCTTGATATCCGTTATCAATCAAGACATCGATGGTCTCTCTATCGATGGACGGCATCTCACTTAATACTCTTTCGGTAAAATTCTGGTCGACATCCATGTGCTGGTCATCGTTGTCACCGATAATATGATTAACTAATTGTTTCATTTTATACATAACTTATGTAAACAACTGATGGATCAATTGAAGTGATAGTTATATCTATTATTAAAATCACTGTTTATTTTGTTTGCGTTTGAAATAAACGTTTGTTTAATGAATAAGAAATAATAAATTAATTTCAAAAATTATAAAACATTGTATTATTGCAACACATGTTGTAGTGTTCAGTGTTGACATTTGACGTATGTTTTGCATTATAATTGTCTACAACATTCTAACAATACATTGTACTGTATAGTTAAAAAACCAAACATTTGTAACCATCAATAACGTCCAACAAATTATTGTCCCCATTATTATTACTACTACTAAATTGAAGTTTATTTGTTTTGCAAAACATTACATTAAAACCTTAATAATTATTTAGACGTAATTAATAGTCAATTACTTTTCTACTGTACATTATTGTAATATTTTGATTGCAAAATACATTCGAATATTTTTGTGTTTGTGTTATCATTTGAAAAAAAAAGTTTATTTGCATTTTAGTTATAACTAGAGAATCAAATTATAGTTATTAGAAAAGTTTGTATTCAATTCAATAACATTAAAAACAATATTACAGTAGATATATATAATTTATAAATACAATTTACAAATTATAATATTTGTTGAATTATTTTATGGTAAAAATTATATATTTTATATTTTTTAAGAATAAGTTTAGTATAATATACATATGTATAAAAAAAACAGGTAACTGATACAACAAAAAAATAATTATTTAACTAATACTAATATTTTACAAAAAAAATATTATTTATTTAATTAATACTAATATTTTACAAAAAAAAATATTATTTATTTAATTAATACTAATATTTTACAAAAAATTATATGATTAATTTATACATATATAGAAATAATTAATACTATTTGAAATGTTGCCACAACTCTAGTTAAATATACTTTAAACTTTAATTAAAATGTGATAATCCATAGATCTTTATGTGATGATCAATAAATTTTAGGATCATCACACACTATGTGTAAACATTATGTATACTGTTATAGTGCTATACACATACTAAGTGATGATCCATTTTGATGTATGTGATATTTATGTCAATTTAATATTTTAACATTTTATTCTTGTATTCAATTATTAATTACAATATATTCAATTATTTATGTTTATTTATAAAATGTTTTCTAACGCCGGATGAGTAGTTAAAAAGTTTACTACAAAACGATCCATTGTTGTGTGACGATCCAGTATGCAAACATATAAACTGCCATTCATATTTTTCAATATGCTCTTTATAGGACTGAGCTTTAGTCCACACTTTATTTTCGCACTCTCTATGTTCCACACATTTAAAAAAACGCGATCCGATTGCTTTAGCTTTTTGTGATTTTATAGCCATTTTTTCTCGAAAGCGACGAAACTCATACTGATTACCAGTCGGTTTATGAATCTGGATCGTCATTAAAAAATAATTTTTAAAAAATTAAAATAATAATATAAAATTAGATCATCACATACAGCCACGACTTCGTTATCCATTGAATCAATATTGACTAAACCAGGAATATATTTTGGTTTTTGTATGACATCATATAAAGTAAACTATAAAGATCATCACATTATAAGATTTAGGATCAACACATTAACAATATGATCATCACTTACCTCATCCGATTCATCACCGCTTTGTTGATCTTTTGAATCATCACTTATCAGATTAATATCTTCACTTTCTTGACTTGAGTCCAACTCCTAATAAACAAATGATTGTAAATAAAAAGATCGTCATAAATAAGAGGATCATCACATTTACGATATGATCGTCACATATAAATGTAAAATATGTCGTTACCGTCGACTGCTGACTACCGACATAGTCGTCGGCCTTCAGGTCTGACACTTTGCATTCAAACTGTTCCGACTCTTGAATAGCAATCAACGCTTTCCTCAGCAGCGACTTCTGAGCCATATTGAGTACCGGTAACATTGGGAGATCCTCTTTGATATCAAACGCCATCAACGCATCTTTGTCTTGATATCCGTTATCAATCAAGACATCGATGGTCTCTCTATCGATGGACGACATCTGACTTAATACTCTTTCGGTAAAATTCTGGTCGACATCCATGTGCTGGTCATCGTTGTCGACATCATTGTCACCGATAATATGATGAACCAATTGTTTCACTTTATTCATATTTTTAGGACAAAACTTATAAAAATAGCTAATTTAATCAATTAAAGTGATAGTTACTGAAAAATCAGTGTTTATTTTGTTTGCGTTTTTAAAATAAACGTTTGTTTAATGAATATGAAAAATAAATTAATTTCAAAATATTAAAAAACTCTATTATTGCAACACGTGTTATATCCAACAAATACGTCCAACAAATACGTCAAACAAATACGTCCAACAAATAAAATGACGATCAAATTTAGTTCAAATTAAGTGATGATCCAATTATTGTATATAACTTAGTATACGTTAGATTAATCGTCACGTTATTTTCGAATGTTTCATATTTTTGGTTATTTGTGTAAACTTTAACTAATATTTGTTTCTCTAGTTATAAGCCATAAATTGATAATAAAATAAATTATTTAATTATTGCATTAATATTAACACTTGTATTGCAATCGCCTATAATATCAGTGCTGGACATCAACCGACGGTAACCACTCAATGGCCAACCAACGTCTGGAACAGTTCGCCAAACGTTTGACCACTGCGTTCACCGTTACGAAAGACGGTTCACACGTTCAACAATTGGCCGACTTTTTCGGTACGTCCGACAACGTCTATCGAGATGTCCTCGATTTGGTCAAACTATTGTCGGCAAACAATACCAAATTCAGCGGTATTAAGACATCGTTGGCCTATACTATAGTCGAACAACTCGGCAAATATGTTGGCCAAAGTCCGGACAGTCAACAAATGACTGCACGGTTGCTGAACCCTACCGTACGTAATGAGGCCATGGATTTTGCACTTCGCAGGGCGAACAAGACATGGATGGACATTGTTGTCGATGTCTATCATCTGAAAACGATTCCCGAATCGGAAATACTGGCCAATGTCGGCACTTTGTTGGCCGAAAAGAAGTACTTGGACGCCGCACTTTTGGTCACAACGTTTGACTTGAGAGACCACTTTGATATCAAGCAAATACTGGTTCCGCTGTTGTTTCAGGTGTTGTTTGTCGCCAATTGTTATATATTTTTTAGTGGACACCATCTGTTGATATCGTATACGATATCCAATAGAGTTATCTGTTTTTAAAAACTGATTTTATTTGTGTTTTTTTTAGGATAAGCTATCGGTTATGGAGGACTACATACGCGATCAGCAGCGGACACACGGCTACGAGTTTATCAAGTTTTTGGACAAATGCTACGTCGACCGCAACTATGCCCTTGAGATTGCCGATCAAATAAAGGGTACACGATATGAAAAACTGGAACAAAGAGCTATACAAAAATTGGTGACCCGTTTGCTCAAACATTATCAGATCGATGACAGTGCCTGTCCTAACATTGTCGGCCAACAACATAGCCGCCAATTGCGATATCTATTGCATCGCAGGTTTATCGAGGTTTGTGTCCAATAATTTTGTTGTTGTTGTTGTTGTTGTTCCGTCTGTTTTATAGTAATCATAATTATTACAGTATTTTATTTTTCGATATTTCGACTTACGATATGTTTTTTTTTAAGAACGGTTTTTCTGATGGTTCCTGGAATGAGATTATCACCAAAACAGTGGCCGACAATCCACGACTTCAGGAAGAGCTGGTCATCGAAATTGTCAACTATAGCATAGATGAGTCGTACAAATGGGCCCAAGAGTTCAATATACCGATCGATAAGAGACCGACTTGTATACAGAATATGACCGAAAGTCAATTGACTCCTAAAATGTATGTTTAGTTTAGTTATTTTATTATTGAATTTATTATTTTTTTTTTCACTATAAAAGTCGTATTTTAGTATTTACTACTAATTGCTTGTATTGCAGGTCAAATGCCAACCAATGGGACGATTGGGGAGAAACACCGGTTAATAATAATAATAACTACTATCAATTGAAACTATCGATAATTACCGATGTTGTTTGGGTCAACAGTGACCAAAAGTTTGATATTTTTATCAATCGTATAGCTGAGGTAATTATATGGCGATATTTGATTACTCGGTAATTAATTTTTTGGTTATTCATTGGCATAAATTATCAGAATTATTCGGTTATCGGCATCGACGGTGAATGGCCACCACTATTGAATCCCAATTCATCGACTACCGAAAAGCTATCGTTGTTGCAAATTGCTGCACAGGATTGTTGTCATATAATTGATGTAATGAAACTACGGGACAGTCAGTGTTGGACACAATTTACCGAACGTATACTGAACTCCAAGTCGATTATTAAATTAGGTTACGGTATACAACACGATCTGACACAGATTCGCCAATCGTTGCCGACAAATGCAGTTTACAGTCCCGTAAATGTGTTAGATTTGTCCAAATTTTTTGAGTTTGTTTTGAGTGAATTTCCAAATATTATTGACGATTCAGTGATAGCCGATTGCCGCCAAAAAAAAGATTTGAAAGGATTGTCTAAAACTGTTTTTATATTGTTGGGCAAACCGTTAGACAAATCGGAACAGTTTTCCGATTGGAGTCGACGGCCATTACGTGAAGAACAGATTGAATACGCGGCTTTAGACGCGTTTTGTTTGATCGAAATTTTTGATCGATTTCGACAATTATTTTCGGAAAACAGTTTAAATTTTGATGAATTTGTTGGAAATTTTCTGTCGGGAAAATTACAGAAAAGACATAACAAAAGGAAAACAAGCGACGACTCAGCCGATAAACAATTGGATTTTGACTGTCCATCTGTTAATGTTAAAGATTTTAAGTGTGTCTGCGATACTATGCTTCAAGGTATCAGTGCTCTACTCTTTGTTATTATTATCTCATATGTTATAATAGATATTTGATTTTTTTTTCGGTCAAATTATAAGGTTTGGGTAGATATTTGCGTATATGCGGTGCCGATATCTTAATAGCCGAGACCAACGATGACCACCACAAGTCTGCCCGATTGGCACTGGACCAGGGACGGCTACTGTTGACCTGTGGGGCACCGTATGATTATTTCAGGTCGAGACTGCCCGCCGGCAAGTGTTATAGGGTTCCCAATGGTATCAATGCTTTCGAGCAATTGGAGATAGTGTTGAACAAGTTTAACGTTAGAGTTACCGAACCGGACCTGTTTACCCGATGTCCGAAGTGTAACTGCAATGACTTCCAAGTACTGACCAGTAGTCAAATGAGCCGATTGTATGAAAATCGTGATTCAGCTAAAACTAAATCAGGAGTTGATGTCAAGTTTGAGGGCTTTCACAGCAATATCTTCAGTAAAGTAAATGAATTTCTTATGTGTCCCACTTGTGGTCAAGTGTTTTGGGACGGCTGTCATCAAACCCGATGGAAGGATAAGATTCAGGATTTGTTGTTCAAAGTGGTCGCAGATGATGGCGAAGACCAACAACAACAACAACAACTGTGCGATAATAGTGAGCCGGAAGTGATTTGTTTGGATTGATTGTTGAATATAATACTTGAGTTACAAATGTATAATAGTTTTTGTAAATATATTCAAGATTTTTCATTGTTTTTTTTTTAATTATATGATAATTATTTATTTAACAAATGATATAAAATTTTTTTATATTTATGAATCACACATTTTCATAGTTTTATAATCTTATTTATTATTTGATAATAATAATAATTCATTAATATAAATATCGGATAATGTAATTTCATTATTATTATTTTATATAATTTATTTTTTTCAACATTTAATTTTTATGTTGATTTTATTGTTAAGAATACATATTAAATACATTAATTTGATTTTGAATAAAATGATTTTTTTTATACAATACAAACTTTTTAAACTATATTATCTATTAAATAATAATATATCATATATTTTATTTATATACTAATTTATATCTTTTTAGAAAAATTTATTATAAATTATTATTAAAAAAAATAATTAATTATTTAAAAAAAAACAAAACAAAATTTATGAAACATATTTATAAAACAACATTTGACAACAACAACAACAAAAATACCGATAATAATAATAATAATAATACGGTAATAATAAATATATAATAATATATATATATATATTGATTTAATAATCACTTTGAAATTGTTATCACAATATAACCAACAACAACAACAAAAAATCAAATCAATAGTATATATATATATTTTTTCAGTAACAAAAAAAGTGGTATAACTTTATATATATATATATATATATATAAATCTTATTTTCTAAGGATTTATGGAACAGTCATCTTTGGACAGTTGTCTTTGTCGTTTATCGTCGATACCGAAATACCAGCCGCAACTGTTCTCACACTCTTTGACTGTATTGAAGTTGTTTTTATTGCCAAAACAGCCGTAATAAAGGAAACACTCGCAAACCTTTCTGTCCTTATGATAGTAGTAGCGAATGGTTAGCCGTCCTGTTTGATGATCAGTACTGTTTGAACACCAATAGCCCGAGTCCTGTGCCGTTTCCAGACACAACTGCCGAGTAGTCATTATTGTCGAATTGATTTTCGTCTTGATTCCAGTGTACGTGTTCTGCAACAATGACTTTACTTTGTCGGTCAGTTTTCTAGGCTTCGGTGTCGTCATTGTTGTCGATGTGTTGGACATAACAACTGTATTATTATTGATTCTTGGATCTAATGATAATTAGTTTTAGTTAAAGAAGAAGAAAAAAACAGATTTTTTTGTGGATTAAATTGTTTGCTTTGTTTGTCAATTGTCTCAACAAATACCTCCGGGTTTTTGTGGCCTTTTTGTGGTCACCTCTTGTACTAGCAGTGGATGAGCAGTAGTCATATTTGGATTATTCATAATCCAGGCAGACTTGAGAGTGACATCATCTTCATCATCATCATCGACGTCATCATCATCTTTGCCGTCGCCTTTACTATCCTTAGACGTATCGATATCTTTCTCACCCTTTTCATCGACCAGTTCGGCATTGGGATCCATGTCTGGCGCTTCGGTAGCGTTTCCCTGTTCGCCATTCATTTCGTAGTCGTGATAGACATCGTTGGCCGCTTGAAGTGTCCGATCCTCTTCATCGTCTTCATCGGCAGCTGTAGTCATACTATTGTAGTCAATGGTCGCCACTTTTTCTCTGTTCTTATTATTATTATTATTAGCACTTATTTTTGTGGTCAATACACCGGACACCGGACCTTCGTTTTGTTGGTGTTGTTGTTGTTGTTGAAGTTGGTGTTGGAGATGGTGTTGTCTAACATTCTTTACGAACCGTAAAATACCTGTAAATTATATTTTATTATTATTTTTTAGGTATATATATATATATATATATAATAAAAAGTTAACCCATCTATACATCTATATATCTATACAACTGTATCCCTACTACTACTACTACTGCTACTATAACTACTGTCTCCTCGTAACTACTTATCCTATCTTCTAATTCTTACCATTATTTTTGTCAATTTTTGTATGTTTGGCAGTAGTGGTAACTGTTTTACAATCGGCAACAACACTGTAGACAATCACCAAAACCGCTAATATGGTAAACAAACGCCTAAATAACGGTGTATTGAATGTCATTGCGATCCGAAACCATATTTAGACATTTGTTTTGAGTATTTATGTTTCAATAAAATAAAATAAAAATTATTCAATTAAATTTATAAATAAATAAAAAATAAATAAATAATTATGAAATAATTTTCAAAATGATTTTTGTTTGGTTATTAAATTTTTTTTAATAAAAAAAATTATTTTATTTTCTAAAATATACTATAATTTAAATAAAATGTTTGAATTAATTTCTATTTTTTCCATTAAAAAAAATTATTCTATTAGTATTACAATAATTATTAACAATTAGTTTATTAAAATATTTATTTTTTTAATATTATCACAATAATAGTACATTTAAAATGTAGTAAAAATTACATAATTTATGACTTTAATTAAAAATAGAAATTAATTTTGTTTCATATACATTTATAATGATATAAATGTATATTTTTTAAAAATTAATAATTAGTAATAATTAAACATGTACGTTAAGTTATTTAAATATAAAATAGTTTTTTTTAAAAACAACTATTTATTAATATTGTATATAAATTTTGTTTCTTCTAAGAAATTCATTATATTTATAAACAAAATTAATTTTCTATAAATTGAAAATCTAATTGTTATATTAGAAAACATTACTTTATTGTTAAACATTAAATATTTTATGAATCAATTAAAAATGTTAGTTTCAATAAAGATAAAAAATTATATTTATAAATATATTATTAATAATTAACATAATAAGCAAAATATAAACTTATATACTTTATAAACATAATTGTAATTATTTTTGGATAATATTATTATTACTATTAGACTTTTTTAATCACTTAAAATCACATATTTTACTAATTAATTAAATACTATTATATCATATGATATATTATGATTCTGTTATTACAGTAAACTATAGACTATATATTTTAATTTAAAATATACTGATAGTTCTCAACTAGTCTTTAAATATTATAATTTTTATGACTAATTAATATTTTAGTTATAATTATTTAAATAATTTAAATTTTATTTATAATCAATAAAATGTTTTTTTGCATCATTTATAATTTTTGCCGCATTTTTTAGTTTTAAACAAGTTTTAGTTACTTTAATTATGGATTAATAACATTGATATTTTTTTATTAATATGAAAATATCAGTGTAAATATTTATTTTAATTTTTTTGATAACAATTTTGTTTTATCACACACACAGTGTCTTACAAATAAATATATATAAAAATTAAAATCATATTTAAAAAAAATATTAACTAATATTACATTTGTTTATTTAATTTCAAAGTTAAAATGCAATAATAAAAACATTTTTTTTTTAATTTTAATTATTTACAATTTTTTTTAAATTGTTTCTTGTTATTCTAAATATAGTAAACAATTACAATAATTTGTTATTTTTTTAAAATACAATTTTATCATAATTATTGTGAAATATTTGTCTAAATTATTTTTATTTCAAGTTCATGATAAATAACAGTCATAATAAAATGTTTTAATATATCAACAAATATTATTATATAAAGTAATTTAATTTATATTAATAAATATTACATTTAAAGTGTAAAAATTTTGTGATTTTTATTACACGTTTTTGTGTTGATATTAATAAGAATTTTGTCATATTATCAATATTTATAAAAAATAAGTTAAATTATAGTTTAGGTTTTATTTATTCAAAAAAAAAATTTAGTTTATTGACACAATATAATTATTGTTGTACTATATTTATTTTAAGTTATTTTATTTTTTAAAACATCACATTTTAATTGGAAATGAATGAACTTTCGGTTTAAAATTGATAAAAATCTAAGTTTCAAAACAAATAATTGACTCAAAATTGTTTCATTTATATACAATATATATATATACTGTATAATATTAATATAATTTATTTGTATATAAGTCATTGAGTTATAAAATACTGTATTATTAATATATATATATATATATATATATAAATATATAGATATCTTTTTATTGTCGAAAAAAATATTATTATTAATTACTACAGATTTGTAGTTCAATATTATTAATAATAATTAAGGTTTTTAATTATTAATTATGACTTTTATATGCATTTTTGATTTCTTATTTTACATATTTAATTAGGAGTTATACTCAAAATTAAATGGAAAACTTATTTTTTTAAAATTTAGAAACTAATAACTTTTTAAATAAAAAATTGTCTGTACTGTATATCTAAATTTTTTTTTATTGAACATTATAAATATAGTTTATTAACATTTTTTTTGATAATAAAACCAACAAAAAAAATAATAATTACATTTGACTCTATTATAATAATTATTGTGGATTAATGGATATTTAATAATAATTATTATTATTACTATTACTAATAATAACAAATAAAACACAAGACTAGAAATGACAATTCAATCGCCAAATGTCGAGTCATTGAAGATCTCGTCGAAAGAGGAGAAGAGGAAGTGGCGCAAGAAGTTTGTCCGATGCGAGTCATTGCCCATCGATTTGAATCAAAATCAGACGACAATAATCTCAGAAAAGCCGCCGAAATATTCGCAAACCATCGAAAGATATCATATCTACAATATTGATGAACTGCCCGATGATTGCCAATCGCCGACGGCGGCCGCAGCCGCCAACAGTGGTGGTCCGATGACTGGCTATCAGTTGTTGATATTGATTTTGCTATCGTATGGCAACTTCTGGATCGCCGCCTGTGTTAGCCTTCAGGCGCCCTTTTTTCCCAAAGAAGCCGAATCTAAAGGTAATAATAATCACTAATTTTTAATTTTGGATAAAAAAATTTACTAATTTATTTTGCCATTAATTATCCGCCACTCCTTCAACACACACACACACACACACACACACAGGCGCCACACCCACCGAATACGGACTGGTATTTGGCATCTATGAGCTAATGATTGCCATCACATCACCACTGTTTGGCAAACTCATAGCCAATGTGTCTCCGCTGGCACTCTGCGAGTTGGGTCTTGTTGTGTCCGGTTTCAGTACCGCACTGTTCGGACTACTCGATCGCCTAAACTTTGGCGTCTCATTCATAATCATGTGTATCGGTGTCCGTATCATTGAGGGCATCGCTTCGGCGGCATTCATGACGGCCTCCTATGCCATCATAACCAAAGAGTTTACCGACAGAATTGCCACATCGTTCTCGACTTTGCAAACATTTTTCGGTTTGGGTCTCATATTGGGCCCCACTTTAGGCGGTGCACTCTACCAATTAGGCGGCTATATGTTGCCGTTTATAGTGTTGGGCTCATTCCTACTATTGGGTGGTGTCGCCATTTTCTTGTTAATCGAAATCGAAATAAAGACATCCCAACAAAAATCTGGCAATTTTTTGGAGTTTATCTCCGATTCGGGTACACTGTTGGACGCACTGGCTATTGCAATGTCGCTCAACTTTATCGGCTTCAATGCGGTCACTCTTGAGCCACATCTACGGCAATTTAAGTCAGTTTTATAGCCCATATATAAAATTATTGCATTAATTATCTTTAAATATTAATTTTTGTTGTTTGGTTATACATAATATGTAGTCTCAGTCCGCTACTAATCGGATCAATATTTATCATATTTGGTGCCACACATGCCATCATTACACCCATTTGGGGCAAACTATGTGAAAATGGGGTTAGTTTTTAATAAATAAATATATATATATATTTACTAAAATAAAACAAATTAATTATAATATAATAATATAATAGATATCGCCAAAAAAGTTATGTATAATCGGTTATCTATTGTGTACTGTTGGCTATTTATTTATTGGACCACAATTTTTTATACCAATAGAGCCGTAGGTAAAAAAATATTTACTAATTTAAAAAAAAATATTATTTATTTTTGATTTAATTAATTAATTTATTTATTTAGACAATTGTGGCTAATTGTAGTGTCGCTGATATTTATCGGACTCGGTTTGGCCTCCAAACTGATAACGGCATTCATTAGTACACTAAACGATTCAATCAATAGGCGAGGCTTTCCCGACGATATGTCCACCTATGGTCTGGTGTCGGCCATGTATTTCTCGGCCAACTCTATCGGGTATTATTTTAGTCAAAAAAAATATGTTGCTTTTACTACTAATAATACTATTAAAAAAAATATTATCTATATTTTTTTAAACACATTTTCTTTAATCAATAGTGCATTTATTGGGCCCACATTAGGCGGTTTCCTATTAGATACAATTGGTTATCGCAATTCAACATTAGTGATACTCATAATTGATTTAATTTTGGTATATATTTTTTTTGATTTTATTTATTTTTGATTATAAATAAATAAATTAATTTTTTGTTTTGTTTTGTTTTTTGTATTTATAGTTAACATTACTTGTAATATATTTAATAACTAGAAATAGAAAACGTCGTTATTTTAAAAGTATTGATGAAATTCAGCCACTTTTACAATATAATTAATTTAATATTTAATTAATTGTTTATTTTAAATAATTTTTTTAAATTAAAATATATCAATAATTTGTTTTGTTTTATTTGCTTGTTTTTCGTATATATTGTTTTTAAAAATACTTAATTATAAAAATATGTTTATTTTATTTATAAAAAAATAATTCTCTATTACCTGTAATTTTATTTGTATAATAATGATTTAAATAAAATTATATTTTTTTAAAACTCAAATTATCTTATTTCCAATAAATGAATATATAATATTTGTCATAATTCAAATTACAAAATTTACTTAAAAAATTATTAATAAACTATTATGAAATTTAACTTAAATAAACTATATATATATATATATATATAAATTGTTTAATTCAATTTAGCTAAAATCTAGATTTAATATTTTATTTATAATATTTAAAACACATTATCCTGATAAATATCATTATAATGTTAATAATAATTATTATATTTATCATGATTAATTAATGATTGTAACTTATTGTAAAACAATCAAGTTCATATTTTGTTTATCAAGATTATTTTTTTTAAAAAACAGAAAATAGTAATTATAATAATAGTAGTAATAGTTAATTTTAATTTTTGCTATTATTTTTAAAATAATATTCAAGTTTTGTACTAAAATTATAATTTAAATTAGTAATAGATTATAAGTAGATTATTTATAACTATATTTTGTCAATGTTAAACATAAATATTACATTTAGTTACTATTAACTACAAAAAAAAAATTAAAATTCTATATTAAATACTAGTTTTTTTTAAATATATAGCCAACATATTACCAATTGATTGAAATTATATTTTTAAAATAAGTAAAGACATAATAATAATAATATAAATAAAAAAATTTGTTTCAAAAAAATATAACGATGACGTCGATGACGGCCAACTTAGACGAACGTAAAGCACTGGCCAATACATATGATCTCAAACGTATTGTCGAAGTATTTGGTCGGACACTCGGCCGACACAAAGTTCAGATGAAAAAGTCGGACATCGAAATACTGCAGTTCAACGCCAACGAGTGTTTGCGACAAAAATATCTGGACTATTGGCCCGAAGTGCAAGAATTTTACAGCGAATTGGGTCTACCAGAGGACGAGTTTAACTACAATCTGGAGGACTGGATGATACCGTTGCTGTTGCGGACGTGCTGGTGGTACGACACTACACAATGGCCGGGAGACGATGACCAACGCAATGTTGTACGTGTAAGCGGTCGCTATGGCCTACAGAAAGAGCATCACCGGCAACTCGGGTTGCTGTTTGTTGTGGCCAATCGGGTCAGCGATTTGGGCCTAAACGAAACGGAACTGGCACTGCTCAGTACGTACTGTCTATTGCAGGGAACGTATAGTTTTCTATATCAGACACATACGACCCGCAAACGGGATGCCATTACCAAATTTATCGGTAATTACGAGCGCATCCTATATCCCCATCAAACCAAACGATTTGCACAGTTGTTGTTAATGTTATCAAAGTTACAGCTCATTAGCTTAGGGATCAAGTCTTAGGGCTGAACAAAACAATTATTTATTTATTTATTTTTAAAAAAGTGATAATAATTGTTTGTTTGCCAGATATCTATAATAATAATAATAAATATTTTAAAATCTGCAACTAATGGTATTCAGAAATTTTTTTTTAAACTTACAAAAAAAATATTAAGTCATTTAATTATATATAAAAATAATACAATACATACTATTTACTAATAACAATTTAATTTATTTTAATTAATAATAAAAATTATACATAATTTTTTTGCCAGTATGTAAATCTTGGATGTTATTAAAATTATTAATTATATAATTAATTTTCTAAAATATATATATATATATAATCTAATGATGCAGATGTTCATCATATGAAATAAGTTAATAATAATAAATAAAAAAAATTGATGTTTTTTGTTTAAATTACATTTAACGGGTGGCTGATTGAAACATTAAAGTGAGCTATTTATTTAAAATAGTAAAGTAAGCATATTTAGCACCTGATATATTAATTTATATGACAGTGCTTTTTTTGTTATAAATATACAAAAATATAAATGTGAATTATAATTAACCGCTATATTAGCTATATTGCAAATATACAGTATTTTATATATATATATATACCTGTAATAATCGTTTTGGTTCATAGCATCGATAATATTAAACTAATTTTTTTTGTTAATTATTATAGTTTTTAGTTTGTTTGTTATTAGTTATACTTATTTTATAGTTGTTAGACACCACTTTTTTTTGGTATTAAAAAAACCATTTGGTGCCACCAAACGTGTTGGCATACTATTGGCTGTCGAGTCACTTACTAAACTAATTATTGACTAAATTATTTCAAACAAACAAACAAAAAAAACTTGACTTTTTTCAATCAGTTAATAATTTTTTGTTAAAAAATATTGATAATTTTTTAAACATACTATACATTGTTTTTTAATTATTTACATATATATAATATAGTAAATCTCAAATGAATTATCATCAATAATTTGAATGATAATATATCCCGACAACAAAAAAAAGTTTTATAACTTATTTAAAGTGAATAATAATAATAATGCAATCAATTGTCTCAAAAATATTTGCATTACTTTTATTGAGTCTAATAGACGTCTCAAATCAGGTCACAGTCATCGTTAAGAAAACACATTACATCGGTTCAGTCAACGTTGTCGATGGAGTACAAGTGCACACCTATCTGGGCATACCATACGCTCAGCCACCGGTAGGTGAGCTCCGGTTCAAGAAGCCGTTACCAGTCGCCGAACCGCCGAAGACAGTGGACGCCACCGAATGGCGTCCGGCCTGCTATCAGAATGAATTGTTCAAAGAGCTGATCATCAATAAGAGTCTCAGCGAAGACTGTCTCCATTTGAACGTATGGTCGCCGAAGAACGACAACGAACGCCAGTACGAGGCCGACCCGTTAAGGCCAGTACTACTCTGGATTCACGGCGGTGCCTATATATCCGATTCGGCCAGTCGTCCCATATATGACGCCCGATGGTTGGCCGCCAAATCTGATGCCGTAGTTGTGACCATTAACTATCGATTGGATATATTGGGATTTTTCTATTCGGGCACCGATGAAGCACCGGGTATATATATATAAGGGCACCAGTAGTTTAGTGAAAAATATTACTGAAAAACTTTTACTATTTAAATATAGGAAACGTTGGCCTATGGGATCAGGCGCTGGCCATGGAATGGATTATCGATAATATAGCATATTTTGGTGGCGATCCTAAAAAGATAACATTAATCGGTGAAAATGCCGGCGCCTTTTCTATTGGTGTCCACTTGTTATCACCGATTAGTCAGAGTCTCTATCAGAATGCTGTAATGATTTCGGGTTCGGCGTTGAACTACATTATCGGCGAGAATCCCGAAGTGGCCAAAGAAAAGTGGCTTTTGGTGGCCAACGAGATGAAGTGCATCAAAAAAGACAGCGCCAACAACTTTACTGAGGAAGTCATGTCGTGTTTGCGCAACAAATCGGCCGCCGATTTGTCCAAAACGTTGCTACTGTTGTCGCACAAAGCGAAGAGCGAGAAGAAAAAGTTTGACGAAATTACTCCTCAAGTGATCTTCGGAGACGCCTTTCTGCCGGAATCGCCCGAAACAATGCTGACGGCTGGCGATCATAAGCGTAGTGTCAATGTGCTGATAGGACATACCGATGACGAGGGCGGCTATATGTTGCCAATGGTCGATATGGAGAGGTATGCGCTGATGAATCCGAAATCGATAACCAAAGATGAAGCTGAAGCCGATCTGAAGAAACTGACCAAACAGTTGATTACGAAGACAAAGATAAATGCCGACAAAGTGGCCAAAACTTACTTTTCGTCGCTGAAGTCCAGCACAGACGAGAAGATACTTCGCCGGACATTAGGCGTGGCTTTAGGCGACTATTATATTACTTGTCCGACCATTTTGTTCGGCAAACAACTGGTCAAAAGTTCGGCGGCAGACAAAGTCAATGTCTATCACTATTATTGGACCCGAAAAGTATCCGATAAGGCTGTTCCCTGTGCCGATTGGATGGGCAGCTGTCACGGAACCGATACCTATATGCTGTTTGGCGATCCGTTTATCAATAGAGACAACTATGAAGAGGAGGACAGACAGATGTCCGAGAGGTTCATCAAAACTATCTCTCATTTTGCATATCACGGGTCTGTCATAAAAGTAGACAATTGTTTTTAATTTACTAATTATTGTGGAAATTGTTTTTTTTTCAATTTTAGTCGACCTCTCAATCAACAGAACAAAGAATGGCCTAAATATTATATGAAAGACGAAGAAGTGATTGCACCCTATTATGAATTCAATGGCAACGATGACAAAGTTGATGACATCGTAGACATTGTCACCGACAACGACAACAACAGCGCGAAGAAAAAGAAAAAGATTTTCGGCAAAAATCTGAAGACAAAAGAGTGCGAAAAGTTATGGAAAAAATATATCATTTAATTGAATAATAATTAATAAAAACATTTTTTTTAAAAAACATTATTTTTATTAGTATTTTTATTTATGGTAATTGTGTTTTTTTAAATGAAATTTTTGTTTATATAATTTTATTGATATATATTTGATTATAGATTAGTCTAATATATATACCGTTTAATAAATAACTTTAAAAATGTAAAAAAAATTTGTATAAACATCTGATCTCAAAATGTTATCAAACAATAATTGCTGTAAGACTACTACTATTATTATATATAAACAGTTATATTTGAATTTTTAAAAAAAATTGTTTAATATTGTGATTTATTTTTAAAGCAAAATAGTCATCTATTTTTATTAAACAATAAAGAAAATTATATAATAATAATAATAATAATATTCTGCAATAATAGTTGGCACTAAACTCTATTAATGTTATTTAAAAAATAAAATATAATATAATTATATTATTACAATTCAATGCCAATAAATATAACTATAGTATACAACTTATTGATGTTAATTGATTTTTTATATGTTTGCCAACTAGTACATTTTAATAATAATAATAATAATAATATACACATATACATAAAATTTATATTAAATCTAATAATTTAAAAACAATTAATTACATTATTGTTAATAATAAATGTTTTTTTTTGAAAAATACAATAGTATTCAAAAAATACTTTATACTATTAATAATATTTTAATAATTTCATAACACATACATAATATATAAAATTGTTTAGTCATTGATTGTCTAACTACTACTACTACTACTATACTGTTAATTAATTTACAAAATTAAGTACAGTATTGTAAAATACATTATAAATTTAAAAACACACATTTTTATGTCGTAAACAAACAAATAATTTAGTTAATTTATCTTAATTAGTATTTAAATAAAATGTCCTAGGTTAAACAATAAAGAGTGGAAAATTTTTGATAAAAAATATCAAATAAAATACAAGATTTTTATAAATATTTTATGTAAATATTAATTTAGAAATCTAAACCGTTTTCTTAAAAATTAAAGTGAATAGTAATTTATCGTAATATAAATATTATTATCATGTTATAGCAATTTATTATTAAGATTATTATTATTATCATAGTTTAGTATAATATAATATTTAAAAAATGTAAAGTATTAATATTTATTAACCTTTATTAACAATTCACTATATTTATACATATGTTTGCAAACGTGTAACTATTGTAATAATAATAATAAGTAATTATATTTTTTAAAAAATTATTTATATATTATTTATTAGTTAATTTAAATACAATACAATTATTATAATTTACAAAAATATTTTTAAAAAAACTTGTAATGAAAACTTGCAAATTGCAAACATAGCAACAAAATGTTTTAAACTAAAAAAAAAATAAATGTTTAATATAGAAAATTAAAAATCTAAATTTAAGAAAAATTTTGTTGCCATGTTACATTTATATATACAGTATATATAATATAATATTATTGCATGTATTTCCTCTAGTTACTAGGAGTCTAGTATATTTATTTATTAATGTTTTTTTTTGTAGCATTTATAATAGTCTAGACAAACAACATGTACTAATCTTAAAAGTAATTAGATTGTACAATGTACATGTATAGACTATATTTATTTTTTTAAAAAAAAATCAAAATAAATAAACTTTAAAACTCACAATTAATAAACTAAACTATTATTATTATTTACTATTTAGCTTATTTATAACAGGCAACAAAATCTATTGTAAATTTATTTAATAATAACAATATATTAATGTTTAGTATATATAAATATATATGTATACCTAATAAACTGGTTAAAACTAGAATAAATTAATAAATATTATTATTATTATTAATATATCTAGCTAAAAAATCAATAAATGTTTGCCTGGGATATCAATATTTAATATTAATAACTATTAAGCAGCTTATGTAAAGTATAATTTTATTAGTACAAAAAAATAATAATATTTATTTGACATTATAATACCAGTATATATTTAAATCAGTGTATTTTTTTTATAATAATATATTAAATAATAAAAAAAATAGGTATTTACTAATTTATATATATACTGTCAATATTTTAATAATAATAATGTACAACAAATATAATATATCACACAATATTATACTGTATTGAAAATGTGTTGTATGTTTGATAAAACAATAGGCTATTGTCAATAGCATTCAAAATATAATATCGTTTTAATTACTGTATAGAAAATTGTTTGTTAATTGATTTTTATCACTACTACTACTTTAATAGTATTGAAAACTATAAATTACATACATTTACAAAACACATTACACTTATTGAATATCGCACTGTATATCGCATTATAATAACTACATAGAGTGTTCAAATAAAAAAAAGAAAATACAGGAATATATGAAATTTAAACAAATTTTATTTATAAATTTACCAAAAAAAATAATATATATTTGATAATCAACCAATTATCCATTGAATAAAAATTTATCTAGCTAAATTATTAGGGAGAGGGATGGGGAAATAATCATATTGGTAAAAATAACTATAGTTTAAAAAAATAAATAAATTGTCCAGTTAAAATAGAAAATAATTTAATGGTCATCATACTTGTCGTACAATTATATTGAAAACTATTGTAGACATTGACTGCCATAGAAACAAGCGATAGGCAAGCAGTGAATGTCAACAAACTATTTTGTTGTACTGTTTGCCTATTGATTAGAGAGAGAGAGAGAGAGAGAGAGAGAGAGAGAGAGAGAGAGAGAGAGAGAGAGAGAGAGAGAGAGAGAGAGAGAGAGAGAGAGAGAGAGAGAGAGAGAGAGAGAGAGAGAGAGAGAGAGAGAGAGAGAGAGAGAGAGAGAGAGAGAGAGAGAGAGAGAGAGAGAGAGAGAGAGAGAGAGAGAGAGAGAGAGAGATTCAGTCAATAATAATAATATTAATACAGAGAGAGTGAGAGAGAGAGAGGCGTCCAAACAAATAGACATTCAATCAGTCAATCAATCAATTAGTGAATCACAATAAACACATCCAATCGGTGGTGAAGACATCGACAACAATATAACAAAACAACAAATCAATTGCAGATCCAGTGGATTGTGTTGTCAACAACTATCACAGACAGCCGATAGCTATGCTTAAGTGGCCGACAATTTTCGCTGCTGTCGTCGGTATTACGCTGATGGCCAGCAGCGCCGCGGCGGCTCAGGACACCAACAGCACCGGTAAGTTGTCACTCAGTCAGCACACATACTGTGGGTGTGTGTGTGTGGGGGGGGGGTTTGTTTCAATGGTCGCTACAATGATGGTGGCAATATATTGATGGTGTTGTCGATCGGCCCAAGAGTCGTATGTCTTGAACTTGCCGATCATTGTGGTGACCATTTTGAGACCAATTGACAGATCAGCTAATAGTTTGTTTTGATGTCTTATTTTGAAAAATTACTATTAGATTGTAATCCAACAAACATACCGGTATTGACCGGTAAGAGTGGCAATCTTAAGATTCAAATATCACCCGATAAATGGCCGGGAAAGACATGTCAGTGGAATGTCAATGTGACGGACGGTTTCTTGCATTTGGATATCGAAGAACTGGTCATTTCGGCTAACGATACGCTAAAAGTTACCACAATTGATGGCAAAACAACATTTTTCGAAAGTCGCGGTTCACTGCATCCGGGAGTCATATTTATCGGCAATCAAAAACAGATTCAGATAAGCATTATCTTTACTAATGATAGCAACAACAACAGAGTATGGGATGTCATGTACGGCAACGATCAGACGGCCCAGTTGTTGAACATTGCCGGCACCGGACGATTCGTATTTCCCTATACTTATCAAAACAGCGATTTCAAGGATATTAGCTTTTCGTTGACATTGCGTACCAAATATAACAATAAGAAACTGTTGATGAATATGGAACCGCCGCATGATTTCAATGACACCTTATTTTCATTTGACAAAGTGGACAAATATACAAACCAAAATCTAACCGGTACAACATATCCCGATTTTTTGTTGTCGACTGACCAACAAATCAATATAAAAATATCGAAATACTCGAAATCGGCCGCCGAAACGAAAAACTATACGTTTCACTATGAATTGGTGGACTCCATATGCAGCAGCTATAAGAAACTAACCGATTTGGACAAAAACAAAACTGTCGACATTATGAACTTACCGACCACTGTACAGTTGCAGTCCCTGTCCTCCTATCGGTGTTTGCGAATCTACGAACATGAAAATCAAGACTCAAAGTTACTGTTGGACTTAAGTGGCTTTAAATTTGTCAACACTGAAGATATTATTACCGTATTGGACGGCAATACCGCCAATAGTCAGCCATTGGCAGTTATCGACAGTCATTTTGTGAACATTTACTGGAGTGACCAGTATTTGTATTCATCGGCAAACAAACTGTGGATTTTGTATGACTCGCCTCAAGTTATCAATACAGTTAGACAACCGTTAAATGTTATCGGAATACAAGCCCTATCTCAAGGTTTGTCATCAATTTATTATTATTAAATTACCGTAAATTATATTGAAATTATTGTAATATATATATATATATATCTATAACATTTGATAGGTGGAAGTTATCAATTTCCCAAAAACGATACATTAAAACAAATAGTATACAAGACATCGAAAACAGTTTTATTACCCGTCACCTATTTGTTCAATGGAAATGTCAACCAACAGTTGGCCATTGATTTTGATGAAAAAAAACCATTGCCCGGAACTGCAAACAAGTTATTTATGCAGATTTTTGATGAAACCGGAAGAAATGGTAAACCAATTATTGAATTAATTGGCGGCAGTTATCCACCAGATATTATGGCTGTCAATGGAATGCAATTGAAGATTGTGTTCAATCAAAATGTCACCGAAGATTTCAAACTAAATGTAATTCAAGTGCCGAAAGGTTGTTACTCGACAGTTACCGGCAATTCAGCGGCTTATAGTCTGTCCGGTTGTCAGACAATGTGTTCGTGGCTGATCCCCAAACGAGCCGATTCTGTGGGCACTTTTGTATTTCAATTTTCTCATCTAAATCTACCCAAAGATTCTGATGTCATTGAATTGGTTGAGTTGGGCACTAAAGATCCTTTTAAGATTATTGATCTCAAAGGTAAACCACATACAAACAGTATATGATATTATCGGTAATTATTATTTTTTTTGGTGTGATTTTTTTTAGGTTCATTACAGTCGACCACATTTCCCGATATGAATCTCGATTCCCGACAGACCTATGCTTTGACTGTTAGGAGAGTGTGCGACAAGAGTTCAATTGATGGATCGCAACTGTTAGGTGTTTCCGTTATTTTTATTGACAAAAATTTAAACCAAAACAACATTACATTCAACAATGAAACTGTCAATAGTATAATACAGACATCAAACTATCCTAACTATTATCCATTAGGAAGCGATAGTCACTGGTTTATTAACGGAACAGTCGGTACGGGCGTTGATTTAGTTTTCATTACATTTACCGATTTTGATATCAATTCGGGCAACGAGTTGTTTATTATGTCGCCAATGAAAAGCAATATTAGTGTTCCATCGAAATTGTCGCAAATACCCGACTATTTGCTTCAAATGCCCGTATTTATCGACTTAAACTCACAGCTGATTAGCAGCAAAAGTGATCCGTTCAGTGGTCGCGGTTTTAATGCCAGAATTCAAGCTCTGAAATGTGGCGGCATTTATGAGGTGAGTTCGAAGGCCACTACAAATATAACGACACCGTCAACATTGGCCGGTGTCCCGCAATGCGTTTGGATGATAACAACCGATAATCCCAGCAAAGGAATCAATGTTATGTCATTTGAGTTGATCCGCGGCGAAGGATTTGATGACAAAAATCTCAAAATTTACGACTCGAACAATACTAGAGATCTGATTGAAGTGAATCAAACACTTTTCAAGACATGGAAAGACAACTTCTATAATACATCTGTCAATACAATGATTATTGTCTATATCATTGACCCGAAAAAGCCAGCACCGCTTACCATTAAAGTCACTCAAACAGGTAATTAGGGTTAGGGAGGGGGAACTGGAGATTTCAATCCGATATTTATTATTAATATTCAATATATATCGTTTTTTATATATATATATATAGCGTGCGACAGACTATGCCATAACAATGAACGGTGTTTTCTGCCACAGTTTCAGTGCAACGGCCACAACGATTGCGGCGACTTTACCGATGAATTCTACTGTAACCGCACTGTACCACCTGTTCCACCGGCACCTGTCTATACTAGTACAGGAGGTAATAAAATTTTCTATCAAAAATAATTTGGATTGTTTATTGTTGTTATTAATTTTATAATCAATTAGTAAATGGATGGGTCGTAACTCTGGTCATCTGTCCTCTAATGGTAGGACTGGGCGTTTTGGGAACTCTATACGGACCTCAAGTTTTGAATCGTTTCGGACGCGGCAGATATCAAGAGTTTCACGATTTTTCGGCTGTTTCATAGATCTGATGGGTAACTCTTGATGATGTTTATTATATGAAGCACTTTTGTTGGCCATTAATTAATTGAAATATAATTTTTAAATATTTAATTAATTTCAATTACAATTGTTATTATAATTATCAATGATTAATTATATATATATATATATATATATATATTTAATGCTACATTCAGTACTTCTATATTTTATATGTTTATCTCTCATTTTAAAAATCAATAGTTAATACAACTTAGAGTTCATATCAATCTTAAGATTTTATATTAATTATAGCAAATTATATGTGTTTCTCTGATTTATTTTTAATAGTATTTTTTAAAAAAAATTTTAATTTTATTATAATATAATTTATAAATGATTATTACAATAGGATTATTATTATATATGATTGTCATATATGTATTACGGTACTTGTCAACATTATTATGATCTGATATTATTAATTTTTTTTTTGATTGTTTAAATAATTAATATATTTAATTTGGTTATTACAATGAATTTACATTTATCTATAATTGGGTAGTATTTTTAAAAAAAAATAATTTTAATATTTATTATCAAAAATTATTTATCTGAACCTCAAACTTCTAAAACATTTACGGTAAAAGTTTTATAATTATAATTGTATTTAAATAATAATGATTTTTTTCAAAAAAAAACATACTATTCAACTCATTGTTAATAATTTGTTACTATTTGAATGCAATGCTAATCAATGTAATGTATAAAATAATATGTAAATAATATTTTGGGAATTATATAAATAATAAGAATAAATATTTTTTGAACACAAAATTGATTATTTATTTTTACTGTATAATAATATTAAAAACTATTTACTGTATAATAATATTAAAAACTATTTACTGTATAATAATATTAAAAACTATTTACTGTATACTAATATTAAAAACTATTTACTGTATAATAATATTAAAAACTATTTACTGTAGAAATATATTTTAGTTTATGATTTTAGATTATGATTACTATTTATGATAATAGTATTACTGAAATAGTATTAACATTTCATAACAACTAAAGTTAGTAGTATTTAATATTAATGGCATTTGTGGGTTGTATTCAATCAAATAGATTAACGTATATTAAATATTAGATATATATTAGAATTATATTAGAAATATTATATATTATATTAAATATTTATATTTAATACAAATTTTATAATAAATACATTTATTTCTAATATTTAACATAAATCTATATTAAATAATACTATTGATTTATTTAATAATAATTATAAATAAATAAGATTATAATTTATAAGCATGAGCAATTTAATTAAATTATTAATTATCTTGTTAATAATCTTTTATAATATTTGAATTAATCTTTAATACTGTAGTCAGCAAATGATTTAACATATGATAAATAGTATAAAATAATAAATAGTGAACAATGTTTCATTAAATATTATTATTATTATTATTATTTATTTATTTATTTTGAATGTAAATTAATATATTGTCAATAATTTTAGTCAATAAGATTTGTATTGTGAAATATAAATCATATATAAAGATATTAAATAACAAACGATTTTGATTTTTTTGTTTGTAATACAGAATATTCTATTTAAATATATATATTATATATTATATGTAATAATAAGAGAATGACAGTGAATGATAGATAGATAGATAGATAGAGAGAAAGAGAGAGAGAGAGAGAGAGAGAGAGAGAGAGAGATTTATGTTATCGTTTTTGATTACCATTAATGGCATTGCATAAAAAATTATACCAATAATGTTAGTAATTGTAATATAGTAGTAGTAGTAGTCTGGGGATAGCACTGAGAGTCTTATTTGAATATTACATAACATACTGTATATGCAAATAGTTTTTATACATAAAATAATGATTTGATAGTAGTTTGTGTGTGTGTGTGTGTACTCTATATTTGTTTGTTTGATTTACTGATCTTTTTTATATCAATCAACCGTCAATGCATTACTTAATAATAAAGGTAACTATTATATTGTTGTTTGATTTTTTTTATATATGCCTAGATGTTATACACAACTAGAAACATTGTACAGTATATTACATAATCAAGTTGTTTTATTTTATATATTATATATACATTATATTAAACAGTATATAAATTTATGTTTAGTCTTTATATCTAAATTTAGATATAATGATTATATAAATAATTTACTGTTAGCTAAACTGTTTTTTTCTAGTTTGTGTGTTAGCCCAATAAATTTTGTAACAAATTTTATTTTTTTAGAGAGAATATTCCCCGGGAATGGAATTAATGGTGTTATAAGTTATAACATTACTAATACAATACTATTTTATTAGACTATTATATTAATACTGTATAAAGAAATATATAAACGTTTTTTTGGTTGTTGTTGGTTGTATTATAACTTTTTTTTGAATATCCAATTACTTATCAATCAGTAATTTGTGTCAACCAGTCAGTCAATCAATATACCGGTGCTAATGCTCGGGATAATCTCTCGACGAGAAAGAGAGCACCGGTAGTTAAAATAAAAAATTATTTATAATATAATTTTTATTTTTATTTAAAAATATTATAATGCATGCAATCCCAATACACTATGAATGCACCTATTTTTTATAAAATACATAATAAATTTGATTTTATTTGTCTCTAATGGACTAAAATCTGCATAATATACTATATATATATATATATATTATGTTTTTATAATGTCAATAACATAACTTAAGATAACAAAATATTTTTATATTCTATAACAATATATTTCTTTTTTGTATCAAATTTGTTGAACATTATAAAACAAGATATAATAAAATAAAACATTATAATATTTATATACAATATATTCAATATATATACTGTATATAACATTAGTATAGTACAGTAAAAATAATAATAATAAAATTTTTAGATACAAAATATTTAAAAATTCAAATCATTGCATAAAAACATAACTATATATAGTTATAACATAAGTATCTCATTATAATAATGATCAGCAATTTTTTTATTATTGTCGAAACAACGTATTATATTGTGATTATTATTATTATAAGAAAAAAATAGTAAATTATTTTTTTGCTGAATATTTAAAATAGACTTTTAAAATAATATTTTAGTTTCTAGTTTATTGGCAATAAAAAACACCAGAAATTACATTTCCATAATTATTATGTTTAAAATAAAATTATATCAAGTTTAATATACTATTAATTTATATATAATAATAACCTATTAATAATATTTTATTATATATATAATAATAAAAGGTTATTATTATATTGATTATCAGGTAATTATAAATACAAAACAATTACTATAGTTTTACTTAACAAAAAGTTTGAATACATTTGTAGTTAAAAAAAAATTTTTTATCTTAATTTATGTATAAATATTCAATAGACCATTGATTTTCATTAATTATTATACCATTGATTTTCAATAAAGTCATTTCTAAATTTTAATATTAAATACATGGTTATTTATTATTTTAATAATATATTAAATCATTGTTATTATTATTAATATTATTTGCATAATAAGTGAATATAATACTATATTTTAGAGATGAGAAAATAATAATAATAATAAAATACTTAGAATTTTTTTAGATTATAAATACTGAATATAAACTTATATAGGATTTTATTTTTCAATTACAAATTATTATAGTATTAACTATTCCAATAAAATATAATTTTTTTAAGAAATAATATTTATAATACTAGAATAGTATTTTTCTTATACCCTATAAACCTATTATTTCATATATATATTATTATTTATTTATTTTTTTGTAAGACAAAAGTGATTGAAACAAAATACTAGTTAATAGCTTTGAAAATCTTTGTATAGTATTATTAGTATTAGTATTATTATTAGTATTATTATCAGTTAACTTAAAACTTATGGTTGCCTTATAATTGGCAATCACTAATATTTAATGATATTATTTAGTGTATTCTTATAATTGGACAATCATTTTGTTGTTTAAATATAATGGATGTGTGTGTCTGAGAAAGAGAGAGAGAGAGAGAGACAGAGAGAGAGAGAGAGAGAGAGAGAGAGAGAGAGAAAGAGAAAGAGAGAGAAAGAGAGAGAAAGAGAGAGAAAGAGAGAGAAAGAGAGAGAAAGAGAGAGAAAGAGAGAGAGAAAGAGAGAGAAAGAGAGAGAAAGAGAGAGAAAGAGAGAGAGAAAGAGAGAGAAAGAGAGAGAAAGAGAGAGAAAGAGAGAGAAGAGAGAGAAAGAGAGAGACCTTTAAAGTGAGTTCATCTGATCTGACATTAATGCTGAACAATAGCGAAGACAAGACATCTCTCCTTTTTTCTGATAATTTTATTTTTATTTTTACTTATCTCTCGGCATATAATTTATTCTCCAATTGCTTTGTCCGTCTCTTTCTTTTGTATGACATTATATATAATGTATATATAGTACTATATATATGCATTTGAATGCTATTTAAGTCATATACCAGTATATATATAGATAACTTATAAGATATATGAGTTGTATTTGTCTGATAGTAAACAACAAAATAATAAGTCGATAGAGAGAGAGAGAGAGAGAGAGAGAGAGAGAGAGAGAGAGAGAGAGAGAGAGATAACAGATTATGTGAATCTATCAAAAGTTCAATCATATATAATATTCTTTAAATTCATGAGTGGATTCTTGTGGATGAAAAACGTTAGTTTCCGAAACTTATACTTTATTTTCGGATACTTAACGATATGTATGGAGTAGTAGTAGTAGTAGTAATAGAAAGTATGTGTTTGTATGTCACAAACGATTGCATAAATAAGTGAATAAATGCAATGATGTGAACGAAAAACTCATATATTGAATGTAATTTCCAATTTAATGATTAATGTTTGACTCCTTTTTCTCCACAAATATACCGTACTTTACTATACAATACTGTACTCAACTGTATATATTAAATATAGTACTATTATAAACCCTACATGTATTGTACTTTTATTATACATTTAGTCTATAACTTGCAAGTGATTGTATATTAGATGAAAAATTAGGTTACAATTGATTGACTGCCGAGACATCAAATATATTAAATGTTATCTACAATAAGCATAATGTATACCACTTTTGCTTTTTTGTTGATATTATATTATTATTATTATTATTATTACGTTGTTGTAATT